GTAGCACAAGAATACGACATTCCGGTTCTGTCTGAACATGGAAGCAATGCCCGATCGAGTTCGATCTTGGTTACTCCATAAGTATTCGCAGCATGGAGTCGAACCATCCACGACACCGCAGTATCGGTCTCTGTAACAGGCAGGTGTAGATGGATCCTTGATCATCCGATCAAGCAATTCTTGATTGTAGGTGGCTGTACAACTGATTGTTTTCTACTTTACAAGGAACTGCAGTTGCTTTGAGTCGATCGAGAAGGGTGAAGAAAATTATTACATAGAACATCTTTCACTGTGATCCCCTGTATTTTGGCATTCTGCCGGTCTATGCTTTCGTAGCGTGGTGGCTGGTGAGCGAGAACGAACTGAATTGGACAATGACTTAGATACAGCGATTTGACAGGGTCTAAATGATGAGGAAAAGGATGTTTGGGCGTGGGCTTCTCATTCAGGCGCATGTGCACCGCAGGAGAAGGAATTGAGTAGTTTAGCCGTACCCTGAGAGAGGAGGCAGCGGGTGGGACCGGTGGGTGCCAAGGAATAATAAAGTAAAATGGAGTAAACAGGCAGATCTCAGGCTACTGCTGAACAACTAAGACTAAACTATCATGCTATCGTCGTGGGTCAGAGCAAGGTAGCACACGCCTAGGTGTGCCTCACTCATGCGTAGACTCGATTCTATGCTAACCTCTTCCCAACAATCTTGACTCACTTTGGCTGTTACGAAAATTGGTGACTATTTCATTAATCATCATTGGATGGACAGTCTTAAGGCCGTCACAACCAGTACCTCTATTACCGGCCTGACCAAACCTGAAGAATATCCATCCAATGATGATCGACGAAATTTTCGTAACAGCCAAAGTGAGTCAAGATTGTCGGGAAGTGCCCATATCTGACATGTGTCGATAGCGAAATCCGATGATGATTCTCCCGGCTCAGACACCATCGCAGCACCATCATTCATCCTTAACAATCTTGCTGTTTTAGTAAGTATCATACGGCTGAGTGCATTTTCCCCTCAGACCGGTAGAACTGGTCCTAATCAGTGCAGTACCGCAGATCTAGAAGCATATCGCTCTTCCAAAAAAATAATTCATGTGCGTACACTGCAAGATATGAACCATAAGGATCACGGGATGAAATGTGTCGTGAAACACGAGGGCGTCAACCTTCACACTGACGGACAGAGATGTCCGAATTTAAGGCCCTGGACGCGTGTCACCAGTTGTATGTTCGATAAGGGACTTCAAATGGATATGTTCTTCCTGCGTCACCCGGACCACGAAGAATAACATTCAGCGCATAGTATAAAAAGCCGTCTGCTTACCGTCTCATTCAGATCGATTTGACCCCATATCACATCCTCACAAACAATGCATCTCCCCTCTGTCGTCGTCGTTGCTTTTGCTTTGATGGCATTAGTGTCTGCCACTCCCCTTGACATTGATAGCAGCGATGGGTGTCCTATATTGTGCACGTCAAAAAATTGCTGCCCTGGGAAGAAATGTAGGATAGAGGGCCTCATATATGTGAGTATAAGTATTTTGCGTCTTGGATTTAACCACACGACTCACCGGCGTGGTAGCGCGTCTTGACGTGTGTTCAAGACGAATGACCGCATGACACGCAAACGTTTCAACTACGGTGAGTCGTATTTCTACTTCAATCAGCATCGGTGCACATGATGACTGATGGCACGACATAAAAGTTACTACTAGTTTGATGTTGATTTGACCAATGTCTTGGTTCCGAACAAATTTGACTGCCGCTCGAGCAATGGAGATCTTGGAATAGGGGAAATACTTGAATAAATAGAATGACTAAAGTACTTGCGAGTTTTGCAGTCTCGTTGTACGCTTGAACAATGAAGCCTCGATGGCACAATGACTCCTCCCCTCATACGCGCTGTTGACTAGTCATGGATGCATTTTTGGTCTGCACTGGACCACTGGAATATGTCACAACCCTACTAGATGGTGGTCTATCTCGAAAGTTGTCGTTATCAAACTGCGAAAGCTCGAGATCCCGAAATCTGAAATGGAACTAGGCCGTGGCGAGTGATCCATGTACTTCCAACCATGGACTAAGACTTCTGGACAATGAAAATATCGTGGATCTGCGAATGGAAGACTACATGGTAGTCATCAAAGCCATTAAGAAAAAGTATCCGGCACAAAGTACCGGCTGGTTGATGTTTGTATCCGCTTGAAGAGGTAAACAATTCAAGTATAAGTAACAAAGGCTGAGCTGACGTGATAGCTGCATGTACCTCCTGCACGAAAGATTGAATTTGTGAATCAAGAACGATGAATGGTTTGAGATTGCATCAGGAAAAACGCTCTTCTCAAATCGGATGAAATATGATACAACTTGCGTGGATCTGCGAGAATTCGATGGATTTGAACATTCGATCCATTATTTTAGTCCCTTGAGAATTTTCGACAATTGGATCTCACTTTTCGCCAATCAGAACAGAATTTGCGTCAAGCAGAACATGATTTTCAGGCAGTTAAAATTTGTCCAATGCTATCAAATGAGTACCATTGGATCTGGAATCTAGACAATACAATGTGTGACCAGTATCAGTCCTCCGCCATACCATCAATATTGAGGAACATGAGACTATCGGCTGCGCTAGGTTCTTCAGTCTTGCGCTTCGACCCACTACAACACGATGGAATCAGACAATGACAAGTGTCGAAAAAGATAGAACTCACTAGACAGACTTGTACAGCGAGTGTACGAGTACGTGAAATTTGCGCTTGCTGGCCTTGAAGATGCCATTCAACATGCCAACCAATGTCCGATAGATCCCGCCGTACATGTCCGAGTTGAAGTCTCGGTCGAATTTTTCGGAGGAGTACTGCATAATGACGGAGCACACCTTGAATTGTGTGATTGATTAATACATATAACATACCCACAGCAATTAAAACATACCGCAGCGCTAGCAAGTGCCACCATCGCGACAGGCAGCTCAACCTCGTCAGGATGATCATCAATTGTTGATGTCAGATGGTCATGCCACTTTACTCCTGCTGCGAGCTCGTCGCTGAAGAATGCATCCTCGATGGTGTCCAAAATCGCCGGCGCTTGAAATGGTTTGGTTTGGATAAGGTCCCCCTGTAATGTATGAAGCCACTGGCATCAGCTCAAACATAAAATAGACGATAAATCTTTGATGAACCTTCGCGTTCACCGGATAAATGTATGCATTGTTCTTGAGAAGGTCCGTGACCCTGTCATCAGCACCTTTCGTGAGACCATAGTGGCTTGCCACATGTACTTGCACAACCTTCCTGACGTTCCCACGAATGGTGCCAATACGACCTTCAGGCTGCAAATGAGTTGAGAAGACAGTAGTAAACTCAAGGCAACATAATACACATACCACGGAAGATAACGCACGTACATACTTCGCATCCTTCGTAAGCCGTTTTCTCACATCTACGAATTCCTCTCCATCTTTCGCACATGACAAGAGTATGTCGGCCATAATTTTCCTCCTTTGCTGGAGGTCCAAGTACGCATTTTCGAAGAGGATGTGCTCGTGAAGGCAGGTAATCGAGGCCCGCAGCAAGTCCTGGATGTGAGGTTGCTGCTCGGTTAAATTGACCTTACCGGAACTGCTATATACGATGCGACAAGAAGGCAACCAGTCATCTTCGCGTGAACGAATAGACCGCGCTGACACTGCTTCGTCATCTGCAGGTGGCCCACTGGTGGTGTCATCAACCTTGTCTGGCGTGCACCAAGTTGGTTTCTGAAACAACGAGTGCAGTGAGTGAATGTTCAAGAGAATCAACGAGACTCATTCACCTCTTGTTCTCTTTGCTTCAGGTATTTACTTCCTTTTGACAGCGCCCCTTTCTGATTGGCCTTACTGGTCTCTTTCAGCTTGGAAGAGCGATAGTGAGGGCCGGATTTCTTCATGTTAGTAAGCTGACTGTTCCCAGGCCCTATATCCTCCGCAGCAGAGTCCATGGTACGAACGGGGTCGTCATTGTCAGAGTCCGGTGATGTACTAGGGGGGATTGAGCTGAATGATGAAGCCGCACTGCAGCTGTCTAAATGAGAGTGTCACTTAAGTACTGGTAGGAGGAGGTTGTCACATACCGTCGTTATGTGTAGTAATTTGAGGACGCTATGCAAATAATGAAGACACTCAGATGTAAAATCATCGATAACAATAGCACATACCTCATAGTCTAGGGTAGCCTTTAGCTTGTCACCAATGAGTCCCAGAATACTGTCATCATCTGATTCGTCGAGTTTGTCGTCTGACTCGGCTCCAGAATCAGATTCGGCGCCATCGCTTCCATCAACCTTGAAGTTGTCTGAGTCAGACTCGAAAAGTTGTGCCGCTGGCTGTGAAACACTGCTCTTCCATTTTCTGTTCACAGGGTCAGTATTTTTTGGGCCCGCTATGGCATATAATAAATCAGTGTGAGTTCACAATAGACCAAACTCTGATGAAACTTACAGGTTTGTGCCTGCTCGGCGTGTTCAGGCTCAGCCGTGCTCGATGCAGCCCGCTTTCGTGTCTTCTTGTCTGGCATCCAAACTGTAATTTGCTCAAGTGAGTCAGAAGATGTGGCTCGACTCAGACAGCCATTGATGCGCACCTTGATTTTTCAGTGCTGTGACCTTGGATTGTCGGGAGGGTCCTTTATGCCAGATGTTCAAGCGCATTAGAAAAACAAAGCGACACTGAGAAAACGTACGACTCGGAGCAGACTGGGAAGCCAACACTTCTGGAGTAGCGGTGGCCTCCACACGTCTCTTCAGCTTGGCTGCACGCATTGCAGCAGCCTTTTCGGTCGGAGTCGACATTGAAAAGATCTGATAGAGTGAGAGAAAAAGAGAATTGGGTCAGTCGGATGCGCAACTGAAAAAATTGATATTGACACTTACAAATTTGGACTTCGAGGTTCTGAGGTTCCGCTATATCCCGACATACTTTCAGCCAGAGCCACTGAAACCGCTGCAGCCACAGCACCATGCCAGTCTGTGATGGCTGTGGTTGCACATTTAGTGAGAGTGGGTACTCACGTCACCTTGCACAAACCAGGAATTCTCCCTGTGTTAGCATCTACGAGGACATGCGCAACTACATGCCTAGCAGTCCAGGTCACTCACCACAGGTATGTCGTTATTGCATTGTTGTCGCACAATGCTGATGCAAACACTGGCACCAAGCCCACCAATGATGATGGGCTGCACAATGATGATGGGCCGCACCTATTTGAAGGTGATTTTTTCAATACTACACTGGACGACCTTGAATGGCCTGTAGACGATGAAGATGATGTTGAGATGGTGGGTGATGACGATGAAGATGAGGAAATTGAGGGCGAAGGTGGAGTGGCTGAACAAGAGACAGATTGGGAACCTCCTAGTATGCGAAGTGCCGAAGAACCGGAGATGAACGAGAATATTCCCATGGATGAACAAGGCAATGCTGACGAAGACGTTGATGGCCAACATCAGGAAAACCCTCCGCTATAAACCTAGGCTAAGTATGTGGAATTTGACAAAATTTTCTCTAATTCCTGATAGTTTCACAAAAGTAGGCACCTTAGTGAATTAGAGAAAGTTTTTTACTGCCCCGCCATATCTCACTCGCGCTCACTAGTTTAGTGATAATTATAATAAATTTACAAAGCTTTATGCAAATTTACAATGAGTTATCACGGAACATGATGACATCAATGATGACGGCTCAGGATTTTGATTTCGTTCGAATGTTTTACAAGAACAAATTAAGCTTTTATTAAATGAGGGATATGTCAACATAGCTGAGTAGATGAGAAAGGAGCACTTCTAAGAGAACGAGTCATAATGCAAAAAAGAAGATAAACGAATGCGACTATTTAACACGAAACTGCCAGTCAACCCAGAAATCTACTCTTCGTCATCCATACCATCAAGATCGAGGAATGCCATTGCAGAGTCGTGTGACCCGACGAGAGCAGCATTGCCGTTGGCGGAGAGTTGTCTTATGGAGAGGTGAGACTCGGACACGATAGTCAATAGTACAATGCAGAAATCAACTCACTGGATAGCATCAAAAATATTGGCCATCATTTTATGAAACTTGCCTGGTGCGGCCCCCTTCATTTTCTCGAGAAGTTTCACATGAAAAAAGTAGACCTCGCTGAATAAATTGCCTGTAAAATTGAACTTGGATGGAGATCCATTGGCCTTCCACAGAAGTGCAGCATATACCTGTGCACTCGTCAATACATGAACTCGGACTGGATCAAGAAATATACCGAAGTACTGGTTAAGGCCACCATTGGAATCGTCACCTCGGGCCGTTGGGCCTTGTTGCTCGCGATCTCCTCAAAACGGTCCGAAAATTTCATGCCAACTGACTTTGGCCCGTTGAAGTAGCGCCCTCTCATCAGATATGGCAAGATCTCAGCGAAGTACGGTTTTTTTGACTGTGCAATTGGAATATTTTTCTCCTGCAGTCACCGGGTAAATCAGCATGTGTGACCCAGAATATAGCCACCTACATTGAAATGCTGCTCATAATGATAAACGTGATTGACGAGCAAAGCTTTTGCGGTGTCGACACAATCAGGCCCGAGACGGTAATATGCTGTCACCTGTGCGCAAGCATCATCTTTCAATTCTGAGCGGAAAAGTGGGACTCTGGCTTCCACCTGCACAAGGTTCAATTAACTAGTACTCCAGTAGAGAATACAACGTACCAGCATAGCAAGAGCTGTCACATACGAGTCGTCGGACTTGAGGCGATCCTGGATTATTGGGACACCACAAGCACGAGCTGCTGTTAAGAGCGCATTCCGCGTGAACAGACTCTTCTCGGTGAGTTCTGGATACCCGTTGACAAATGTAACGTGGACTTTGGCCTCCAATATCGCTCTTTGGACGACACGGCATGTGTCGATATCTTGGTCCATCAACTTCAGCTTACCGGTATTCGTCCGTATGAGTCTGGCACTTCCAGGGCGACCATGACGTGTAAGGCCAGAATCATGATAATCTAAGTCGACCTCTTGAGATCCCTCTAAGTCGACCTCTTGAGATCCCTCTAAGTCGACCTCTTGAGATCCCTCTAAATCGTTGGACTCATCCGGCACCATAATTTCTTCGAGTTCCTTGTCCGACTCGGCAATACCATCTGCCCAAACAGGCATCTGCAGTGTCCGTGACATCAAACACGGAAATAAGCACAATAAAACTTTCGCTCACCTCGTCTGCTCGTTTGCGATCGCGTGCGGACTGAATTTTTGCCTTCTGAGGGGCCACTGCACGAGTCCTTGGTTGGGTCGACGCGAAGGGGAACAGCTCAGCTATCTGCCTCGACTTCTTTGAGGCAGTTGTGCGAGGCCAGGTTGCTTGCGTCAAAGGAAAGTCAGCCTGTTCAGCTTTCGACATCGAAACAAAAATTGGTTTCTGAAAGGAAATGTATAGTCAGCTACCAGAACAGTAACGATGACACTTACTTCAGTTGATAAGGACTTTATGACAGAGTCAATGGGCTCCTCCAACTCGTCGTCAATATCCTCCATGTCCAAGTTATTTTCCTGCTCCGAGTCATTTTCCTGCTCCGAGTCATCATGACCAGGTTGGAATTCGGAAATCTCATCGCTGAGTAGTTCATCGTCGGACACTGCATGCGGTTTAGCAACTAAATGGTACCCGGGCCAGGTGAATCAGTCAATGACTATGAAATTATAGTTCATTTGCTCACCTCGGCGCTTCTTGGTAAGTGACCCTGTTGTGTCACGAGCTTGAGGTACAGTCTCATGTAAGCATAAGTCCGTTGCTTGGCGCAAACACTTACCTGGACGCTTTCTAGCCACAGGCCCAGGGATCTCTGGGACATGAGGACTAGCAACACTGCTGCGGCCATCATGACGCTTGGTGGCACCGGTAGACACATGGGTTTTGCATTGCACAGGAGCTTGAGTGAGCTTCCCTCCAGTGGGCCGCTGCCGCTGTGATTTTGTAGTCATCCAGACTAGGACAATATCCGGTGAGAAGTGTTCCACAATCATCATATAACACTGACCTGCGTTTTCCATTGCCTTTTGCTTTGCACTTTGAATACCTATAATGTATATTCACAGTTAGCTCTCATTATGACAGTAAGTACTACTTACTTCGACTAGAACCAGTGTTATCGGCGCGTGCCATACTGACTTGTTGAATGGTACTTTAAACAAGTAGATATTAGTAGATGATTTTGGGATGTAATGGAAGGAAATTGAGGAAACTACCTTGTACTGGCCTTGGTACTACCAATTTATATTAGATGCCACTGCCAAGGGAAAACTTACTCGCCTGCCATGGGTTCCAAAACGATTGAATTTTTGAGCGCCTGTTTTAGATTAGTTCAGGCTTCATCGGATCGCGAACAAAATCAAAGGTACAATTTGGTCAGCATCAATTTCAGGATCACTCCTACCCTTAACAAATAAGGTCCTTGAGAGCGCATGAATATAGGCAGCTGAAAAGAAATATACAGAGGCTAGAATTTGACCAGGCTCCTTTCCCAGCCCCCGATTCGAGTGTGAGGGGCGATATCTGAGGGCACCGTTTGAGGAATAAGGTCATGCTGGGTTCGAATTTTCTTGTATCAGGTGACATATCAAACGGTCCCCTCAGATATCACCCCTCACACTCGAATCGGGGGCTGGGAAAGGAGCCTGGAGTTTAATTTTACCTTCAATATCTTAGTGTTCGAATATCATCTTTACTGGACTCTCCTGTTCTAGAACTTGGTGTGATCATAACAGGTATAGTGTAAGCTCAAGGAAAAAGGATGAATTTTCATGTGCGAAGACACTGTGCATTTGTAGAGACGTTGAACGAAGTACAAGTTATGAGTATGTGTGCTACATGATATCTACTACAGCACCATGACCCCAGTCATCATCATGTCAAGTCGAGCTAATACATTAGTTGATCGGAGCTGCGAGTCTCCAACATTGAGCATGTGAGACTTAGAATGGTCAAATATGAGTTTCTGGACATCGTCCAGACCATCAATGTAGCAAATGATGTCGCTGAAAGTGTCTTTCCCTTCAAGCTGCGTGAATGGTATGACAACCAGTGGATGAGGCAGCTGCTCCCGCAGCACAAGCTTCACAACGGAACCAACAGCAGAGATAGCATAATTGACTTGCTGGAGTCGGTCTGATGTCATAGCAGCAAGAAATTCATAAATGCTGAGGTCACTGCACCATATGAAGTGAACGGTGATGTGAAAGATTAAGGGATTGTCGAGGATGCCATCTAGTAAAACGATGTTCCCGTCCTGAAGAACAACCAATCAACACTGTCTATTTGAAACAAAATTTAAACATACTATGTCGACTGTAAACCTATGCATGAAGGCCAGTGGGTTGGCACTATCGTTGATCAACACAGCTATCACGCGACCCCGGAATTGATCTGGCGCGACATTAGAGCCGACTGGTGGGTAAAGGTTGTAGCCCAGGGCAAGACAACTCCGAACGATGGCCAGGAGCTTCCGAAAAATGTTATTCCATGCCACCATAATCTGCTGCCGTTGGCTACTCGTTGTTTTAATTGTAGCTAAATAAATAGATTAGTATTCTACTCAATTTATCTGCCAAAATGTACCGTTAAGACCCGGGATAGACGCTGCCTCCGAAATTGCAACAGATACAAGTGCCGCACCCGTGTCATCAGTACTGGCCATCGCATTTGCTGTCAGTATGAACCTCACAATTCTTGTTCAACAATCTGCTTCTTAACTTGAGGCGTAACATCAAGGATAATGGGACCTGGTCCGGCTGGCTGCATAGCAGCAGGAACGGTGTTGGATGTGGACTGTGAGGTGACAGGTTCTACCGGCATGACCGGCATAATTGCCGGCTGCATGGCCATGGGTTCAGGTGGCAGCACAGGGGCTAGATGGGCCGTGTGTGTAGTATGGGGGACAGTGACTGCGGGTTGCACAGGACCAAGGGCAGCCATCGTTGGCTCAGGCGGCGGAACAGCTCTGGGTCCGGGTATGAAATACGGCATGGTGGAGGAGGTCCGAGCATGCCGATGCCTCTCAGAACGCTGGGAGGATCCTACAAATGACTGGGGAAAGGGTAGTGGGTAGAAGGTGTCGAACTGTGCGGAGGAGGGAATGAGAGGCTGAATGCTGTCGACAGTGCTACTGGTCGACGGATCATTAGTGCTGGATGGCCCAGGGGAAGGTTTTCGGGAGTTAGATAGCAAATCACCGGTGTTCATCATGTGGTGGTGGTCGGTCATACGGAGGAATCGTTCAAGTGGATCCTCATCATCTGCTTGATGCACTATTAGCTCGCGACTACTATAACATTGGATGAATACATACCATTCAAACTTGTTCCCGATCTGAATCCATTGTATTGATTGTCATAGTCATTTTCGAATGACTCGCTGGTAATGTCTTGAAGTTCACCAGAAATGCCTGAATGCGGATTATGGTCAGGCATCTGCATACTTTGCTGAGAGCAAGTAGGTAAGGAGAAATGAGATGGGGAAGGAGTGGCCACTGGTTAAAGGGTACTTACACCATGCGTCCGGGGGCTGGAATTGAGCGATTTCCTGCATCGCGCGCTAGAAACATGATGTAGAACCTCATTATAATATGTAATAGCGAATAAAAGAAAAATTAAATAGAGCCAAGGTATTGGGCTAGCCATATCTGATACTAACAGCAATAATCCATGATAATGGCGACGCATAAGGTCAATATCAGTGGGGTGAGGCTCAAGAGATGATGGGAATGGAAGCGAAATTTGAATTGACTCACTCAATCCGTTGAATAATCGACCATGAGCATTGCATGTAAGGCGGCCAAAGAGAAGCAGTACATATATGGGATGTTTGAATGTCGACAAATATGGTTATTCAGTACCGAGAATCTTAATAATGCTGCGCACTGACTTCCATGTGCCGATCAGATGTTGTATTCTTTGACAAATGTGTAGTTCCAACGAGCATAATAGTGTGACAACAACTTGAAAATAAATATGAAAAAACTCTAGTACATTATAACTGCACAGAAGAGAAAATACATATGGTTAAAGCAATACTATCAGACGCGCCATAGACACCTCCATATTGATGTCACGATGATGGCAAATGGGGATTGATGAAAATGCGATCTGAGTTCACCGCTGCTTTATATGGTTGATCAGTGTGGTAATACTTCAAACGAGAATTTCACGTACCAATGGAAGAGCAATTATCAGGTAGTCGACTGTTCAGAGCCTTCGCATGAAGCCTCGGAGTCAAGGTCCGAATCATCCACATGGCAAGATTCATCAGATGAGTCAGAAGGTTCCTCATTGCTGAGGCAGGAGAATGTGATGGGGTACATGGGGAATACTTCGGGAGATTTCAAAAACGCCTTCCTGACACGTACACTCAGGAGCTTCGCAACCTGATCAGTTTGTGTACTGATGATACGAAGGGCCTCGGATTCGTCCTGGTAGACAGCTTGGAGATAATTCCTATCATCACCCAGTTCTGCCTGGCCACGCTGCGAAAAGATCTTCCTGAAGCACTGCAATTCCCACTCTGCCAACTTGAATCGTTCTTCATTTTCAGCGTGGATACCATCAAGAAATATTGAGTGACGCTCAGCCTCTTCGATTTCCCACATTGTCAACAACATGCATTGGCGCGCAACCTCGCGCGTTGCAAGCTTGGCCTTGTATCCTCTGTACAAGGTCGAAGTTGTCATTTGGGAGAGGCCACTCTCTAACTGTTCTTCAAACTTTAAGACTACATTAGCATGATTATTAACATCGGGAAGTCAATTCAATATACCTTCTTAGTTGCTTCCAATGGAAATTCGGATTGGAATTTGAGATTCATCACCCAGGCTGCATAACGAAGTTCCAATGGAGCTGGGTTGGTGGGGTATGGGAGAGACGTCCTTGATGGTTTCTTGCGTGCGAAGTGCTGTTGAGGAGATAGAGACTGTGACCTTTTGCCATGCCTAGAGAATAGGCTCTCCTTTACATCAGCAGGCTTGGATGCTCCATCCCGTTCAATGCGCAGAGAACTATTCATCATGTTTGGAGAGAGGCCAGATTGTAGGCTTGAATTACAAAGAGTCATGTCAGACTGGCCCAAGGAGTCGGGAGAAGATGGAATTGTGGGACTGCTCATTTCTACAGGTGACAAAGGCAAATGAGGGCTGCAAGATTGAACAGGAGACGGAGGTGAGTTGGCCATCCTATAGTAAGGGAATCTCGGAACTTAGGTGGTGATACAGGTGATATATATTAATGGATACCTAGCGCGGAGCCTGAAAAAGGAAGCTTACAGGGTGTACTACTACAGTAGTATCTATCAGCAGAGCGCAGTGATAGCATTATACAGCATGGTCAGTTGCCCCGGATGTCATGAATCCTTTTCTGCAACAGGTTATAGTCAGCATCTAGCCAAGACTAGACAAACACCATGCAGAGCCTTCCTTGCTACTTTTCGTGCAAATTCTAACTCCCAGGGCCTGGGGAGTCCGAAGAATCCGACACTCCAAGCTGGCACACGTTCCCTGTCACCGCCTCCAGGGTCCTTGGAAGAACAAGATCATCCAATCTTATTTGAGGGAGATTTTTTTGGTACTTACGAGGAAGCTGATCTAGAATGGCCAGATGACCATTCTGGTGACGAAGAAGAGGACCTTTACAACGATGAATGGGAACCTCCTGCACAGGACAATAATGATGAACCGGAACCTCCGGTACCTGACGACGACATACTGGAAAATGAAGGTGCTGAAGCCTTGGAGAACCGAGAAGCTCGTCGGGAGATTGAGCAACGTACCATGGAGCAAGATCATATTGTTATTGTGCCCTATCCGGATGCCCATGCAGGCGTACCAATAACTGGACAGCCTGCTCATGATTCAAATACCACATACGGTATAGATGCTGGCAACTCCAACAATATTTACGCTCCTTTCACCTCCCAGATAGACTGGGACGTTGCTAAGTGGGCAAAGTTACGCAGTCCTAGTTCAACGGCATTTACTGACCTTCTTGCAATTGATGGGGTAGGTGCCAGTGAAGGTTACATCCTTGATTGTTCTGATATCCATATGTAGGTCAGTGAACAGCTCAACCTTTCATTCAAGAATTCAAAAGAGCTTAATAAGATAATCGACAAGGACCTTCCTGGACGACCAAAGTTCAAGCGTGAACAAATCATTGTCGCTGGTGAAGCATTTGACATTTTCTACCGAGATATTGTCGAATGCATCAGATCTTTATATAGTGACCCTGACTTCGCCGATTTTCTCATATTCAAACCAGAGCGTCATTACGCTGATGAGGATAAGACGATACGATTATTTCATGATATGCACACTGGTCAGTGGTGGTGGGACACACAGGTAAGCATGGTATCATAAATTCGATGCTTGGCCTACATTATTGACTTTGTAATTCAAGAAAGTGCTCGATCGACGACGTCCGGGTGCCACAATCATCCCTGTCATCATATCGAGCGACAAAACCCAGGTTACCATGTTCCGCAACAAAACTGCATATCCCGTCTACCTTACAATCGGTAACATTCCAAAGGAAATCCGATAAAAGCCATCCTGTCGCGCTCACATTCTCCTAGCGTATTTGCCTACTACCCGCCTTGAGCATATCGCAAATAAAGCCTCAAGACATCGAGCTGTTGCAAACCTCTACCATGCCTGTATGAGTCGCGTACTGGCTCCCCTAAAGACTGCTGGAGTTGATGGGCTTGTGATGAGTAGTGGCGATGGTGCACGACGTCGTTGTCACCCATTGTTCGCGTGCTTCATTGGTGACTATCCTGAGCAGTTACTTGCTGCTGGAGTGAAGTCGATGGAGTGCCCGAAGTGCGATGTTCCCACAGACGAACTCGAAAGTAATACAGCGCAATGCGATATACGCGATCTTCATGCTGTGTTGGATGCTCTCGCTCTGATCGATGAAGGTGACCTGGCCTTTGTACAAGCATGTCGTGCTGCTGGAATCAAACCAGTTGTCCATCCATTCTGGGAGGACCTGCCCTATACAAACATTTTTCAGGCAATCATGCCTGACATGCTGCACCAACTATATCAGGGTCTCGTCAAGCATTTGCTTGGATGGTTAGCACAAGCGTGTGGAGCTGCAGAGATCGATGCACGATGCCGTCGGTTACCTCCCAACCATCATATCCGACTATTCATGAAGGGTATTACCAGTCTCAGTCGCCTCAGTGGTACTGAACACAGCCAAATATGTCGCTTCCTCCTTGGCATCATTATTGACATCCGGCTTCCTGGAAATCTTGCTTCGTCTCGCCTTCTAAAGGCTGTACGCGGTCTCCTCGACTTCCTCTACCTTGCGCAATATCCATGTCATAGCTCTGAAACATTACTTTTACTAGATGAAGCTCGCGCACTCTTTCACGACAACAAGGAGATATTCGTTGACCTTGGAATCCGAAACAACTTCAACCTTCCAAAACTCCATGCAATACGTCATTATATGTCTATGATTCGGATGTTTGGGACAACGGATAACTACAACACCGAGTACACTGAAAGGCTGCATATAGATCTCGCCAAGGATGCCTATCGTGCTACCAATCACAAGCACGAATTCACGCAGATGACACGATGGCTAGAACGAAAGGAGAAGATCATCCATCACGAGCAGTACATAAAATGGTGCCTTGATAGAGATCGCGCTCCTTATCAACCGCGTCCACCTGACCTACGCCTCGACCGCACCCTAAAAATGACAAAGCATCCAAGCGCCAAAGCTGTCTCAGTTCCAACATTGATATCTGACTATGGCGCAACTTACTTCCGAGAAGCACTTGCTCGGTACATTGCAGAACAACAGAATCCAAATGAGGTTTTCACTTGTCAGCGGCTGGAGAACGTCGCTGCAGGTATCCATTTACCATTCCACTCCGTCCCCGTATATCACAAGATAAAGTGGTTATCGACTGACGCTCGAGGGCATGGCGATCCACTTGTGACGGTGGATAGCATACACGCTAAACCCCAACGCGCTGCTCTCCAAACGGATGATGTAGTACCAGCACGTTTCGATACTGCACTTATCAACGATGGTACTGGCAGCTCTGTTGGCATCAAAGGTATGGCACTACACTTCACTGGATTCACACTGTTATAGCGTCAGCGATAATTTTGTTGCTAGGCTTCCGCATAGGCCAAGTTCGTGTCATTTTCTCAATTCCTGCAACGGCAACACAACTATTGTTCCCTCCAGTAAACCAGCCTCCCAAGCACCTTGCGTATGTCGAATGGTTTACTCCCTTTCCTGCGACACCAGATCCCAGGCACGGCATGTACAAAGTTAGCCGATTCATTTGCAGGCGATCTTCATTTCATCGCAGTTTGCGCAGGCTAGTCTGGTGAATCCGAACTTCTTGTCAGGAAGAACAACGCAAGGAACCTTCAACTTGACACATTTGTCACATTTACGGGAGTGGTAGCGAACGGATTGCTGGACCATGGGTCAGCAAACATTGACCGCATGCATTTGCTTGCCTACTTACCTCCACCGTTGTGGCGATGTTGGAATCCAGACCCCATCCGGCAGGCTAAAAGCGTGCAAGTAAGACCCGAATTCACAGAGGTAGAGACGACTCACCCTGGTTTCTTCATCCCAAAAGCCTCTGTCGTCCAGCCATTCTGGTGCAGAAGTACCTGCTGGTGTGGCATCCGGAGCCACAACATTGAATGTCTTGACCGACAAAGCCTTGTGCTATATCAATTGCCGGTGAGCAATGACCAGAGATATACTATGAGAGTCACCTTAACAATAATGGTACCAGCGGCCCTGTGGTCCTCTTCATCCGACATAAACTTCTTCTTCCGTTTGCGAATTGGTTTCCGGGATATGGGCGTTGGTGTGAGTCCGCTCAATACCTCCGCTTCTTTGCCATCATTGTCGCTCTCTTCTGCTTTCCTTTTCGTCTTCCTGGGCCGCGAGGCTGTCTCCGGTTGTGTCTTCGTACCTCCAACCATAGGGATATTGTGTCTCACCATCACGGGAGCGCTGGAATGCGGAAGGGGGGTCAATGCCTCCCATGCCGTTGTGTCGGCAGCACTACTTCGGATGTCCGATACCATGGGTTCCATTACCGGAACCTCTGAGGTTTGCAACACGGGAGTGCTAGGTACGAATGTATTTGAAACAGATGGCGTCGCCGGCATCATTACTGGGATGGATTCTGCAAGAGGTTTTGCAGCCTTCTCCGGGACCGCCGACGCCGACGTGGGGGGGTTGTGTTCGGGCAAGATGGAGGGGCGGTAGTCCACGGTCTTGTGGAACCGCGGGTGACTCCTAATGCGCGGGTCGTCGTCTATGACGGTCTTCCAGTCGGGCAATGACACAAAGATGCCGGCCTTGGAGTGCTCCCGTACTACGGCGGCACATGATAGCAGCTGAGGGGAGAACGATGTCGCGCTACCCCCATACAGCTTCAAATCTTTTGCCTGCACCAAATGTAGTTAGTTATCCAAAACACAGTATAGATCTAGTCGAGCAAAACTCACCAGGCATCTGGCAATTTCATCCGATAATGTCAGTGTGCCTGGATCACTTTCCTTTAATTTCATACATCGCTTCATCAATGATTGTACAGTCTCGAGTGTAGCCTGGAGAGCATTGTTTGCTATCTCCGAAGGTGTCATAATTGCGTATAGAAACTAGTGAGCAATGGGTGATGGTATACGCAAAGAAAGATAACTTCGATTCTTTTTCATAAGTCTCGGGATTTATACCAATACTTCGGTTATGGGCGTTTCCAAGAACGCGTGGCCATTATGGAAGCACGGTGCTGTGGACCTGTTAACACCATTATCACGTAATACAGCTTATTGTCCCACGCATTCCACTGCCACAACCACAGTGCCACAGTCGGGTGATCCACATATGGAAGTACATCTTGGCCCATCGTAATCCTTCCCCGACCTCCTTATTTTACACAAAACAGTCATGTTTGGAAAGCAAGTTCGCTTTGCTACAGCGGTATATTCGGATGACGATGACTCGGTCACCAGTGCCACTTCTGATAGTAGCTATGTCAATTCCTCTGACTCACTCAGATCTACGCGTAGCAACTCTCCGGAGGTAGCAAAACACAAATTCGAAGGGCCCCTCGCCTGGTGGCATGGATATACCCCATTGGACTCATGGATTCCGCCCGCACTTTCACAGATCCCGAGGTTTAAGGGCCTGATCGGAGTGGAACCTTATATAAGGTTCAAACGTAAGTCGGCTGTCGAAGCTTCTGACCCGGGAATGCTCAAAACTCTCCCAATGCAGAATATAATTTGGCTGACGAGGTGCGATTGAGCCAAGAATGGACAAATGATCCCATCGCAAACAGGGACATAAGTATGTTATTCTCTGGCCTGACTTGAATCGCTAAGCTAAACTTTATAACACAGGATATGACATGTGCTTTTTCGGAGAATTTGATGAAGTTACAAGCATGCTAGCCGGTATGTCGCATCCCGTCACAATCTAGAGATATTCTCATCCTTTGTTAAAGATATCCATGTCCTTGACATGACTCACAGTACTGCCATTGCAGCAAAGGCCATTCCACGATCCCGGGGACTCACCAACTTGGACCGGTCGCCTCTCGGTCTGACGCAGGTGAATAGTGGTTCCGTAGATGAACCCATGCATGAAGATAAGGGGCCGGATAGATGTGAGCACCCACATACCCCGCTCGGGTGAAACTAATCATCAGCATAGCCGCGGATGATACCGCCGGATCACTAACAATGGACCCTTATGATTGCGGGTGGGAGGACGCACCGGCTGCAGAAGATCTCCTCTCGAGCTTGTTCTCAGGAGAGCAAGCAGATCCTTACGATTGCGGATGGGATGATCGCATGGAAGTCGATACACCGGGAGTGAAGGAAGACTCAAACAACTTTGAACGGGAGGATGAGTCGAAGAATGGTCTGGTACCGGGTCTGCCTATGGTTGAGGAAGAAGACGCGTACGACTGCGGATGGGAGGATGCTGTAGATGTGCAACCCATGGCCTCGTCAATGACTCTTGGCCATCAAGACGATCCATACGATTGTGGATGGGAGCATCGACCAGATGATGGTGCGGGGCTCACGGACTCGGTTGTGACAGTTGAATGCGCAGAAGATCCATACGACTGCAGATGGAGCGATCAGCAGGATGATGGTGCAGCATTCATCTCCAGTGTTGCAACAGAAGACCTGTACGATTGCGGATGGGAGGAAGAAAAAGATGCCGACAGTGCGTCCCCGGTCGTGATTCCGGAGGACCCTTATGACTGCGGATGGGGAAGTGATGCCGACAACCGGGATATTGCATCAAGACATGACCCTCAAAACGGACAAATCGGTCGCCGGACGAACAGTCCGACGCCGATGGATGGGCTTTATATAATCGACCTGACATCGTCTTCTGGATGTAAGTTAGTCCTGATATTCAATACTTGTCGCTAATCGCATTGCAGCTCCCAAATCAACAAGAGACGCCAGATATGGGCCGATGAGCATAGAGATACCGGAAGTAATCGACCTCACGTCGGATGCTGGATGTGAGTGTTTTCGAATATGTTGTATATGCTGCTAATCGTGTAGCTGGCTCAGCATCTTCGCATGGAGTGTCCCAACGGAACACGTTTCAGGAGGCCGGCCTGTCAATGCACCGTGCCATCCAGCGCCTGAACAGCATCGGTACTTATCAGTGTAAGTCGTAGTGACTTGTAGAATGGTTATACTTTACATATATTTGGAACAGGAAATGCATCTACACAAAATGTGGTTGAGCAAAATCCTGCTGGCATGCCCAACTCACTTCCGGCAGCCACATTGCGGGCGAACCAAAGGCTCATAGGTGCATACGCAGACGCGCGGGACAGAGTGACAGAGCTCGGTGAGGATGTTGTTGCAATCTACTGATTGCTGGACATCCACAGGCGCATTATGGATCCGTTGGATGCCATGATAACAAACCTTCAGCAAGGTGATCGGTAGACATCGGTTGATTTGAGAGAATTTATAACTTTCATTCATAGAAAGAACCATGTAGTAGTAGCATTATGTATCACCATACAAACAAAATGTACAATGTCCATGTCTCTGTATCCAAAGAAAACCGGAATAGAGAGTTATGATACAAACCATGCAGCATAATTGTGTGCTCAAGTTCTTACATAGTCGGTAGCATATCGGGAGTTTGGCTTGTGCGCACGCGTCGTGGGAAGGCGGTTGGATGTTTTGCTCCGGGTGCGTTTTGAAGGAGATCCTTCCATGGATTCTTCAGCGACCCGTTTCTTCAGTCTCTTCGCCACGGGCTCTATCTCATTCTTGGTGACCTGTTTTACAATTGCTCGGCCTCTTTTCCTTTTAGGAGGCGACCCTTCTAAAGTTTCTTCAGCAGCACGTTTCCTGCCTCCCTTCTTTGCATGTTCTTTACCGGTCAGATGGCGTGCTATGGGCATTGCAGGTTCAGCTGTCCTTGTTGATGCGGATTCCACGTGACTGGCATTCGCCCGGTAGCCGGGTGCGGCGCCGCCAGACCGGGAGGCTGGTCCGACCAGTGCGGGCGGGTGGTATCACCGGTCGTGTGACGATGGATTTAGATCCCTCGCGTGCAGTAAACTTTGCAGTTTGTTTGACACCATCTATCGTGCTGCTATCCGTCGAGCTGATATCGAGGATCTGAGCCTTGCTATGTTTTACCATATCCATCTTGACATGTTTGTCTGAAGGTGCAAGGGCCTTTTGAGGGAGATTCTGTTCGACCTCACTGTCAGAGTCATTGCTACTCATGACAGACGCTCGGTAGTGGTGCCTCGGCAACCCCGTATGCGACTTCCTCCCCTTCAACTGCCTTCCTGTCCGTGAGGGCAGTACATCATCATCCGATTGTTCAGATTGTTCGGCAGAGGACTCATCGGTTGTCCCGATACGATTTATGTCCTTGTCGGAAGACGTGCTTTTGTTCTTAGATCCCTCGCTCTTGTTTCGGGGAGTGGTAGATGAGGCGCTCTTCTTTGCCTTGACTCCGGAACGATGTGCAGGGGCCGGCTCATCGTTGCTCCCCTTTTTACCAGAAGATTGTCCACCTGTGGATTGCCCATGATGGCCATGCTTCTTTGACTTTGATCCCGATGACTTCTTCATCTGGGTGGTTGGCTGTGCCCGGCTTGTGACACGCCTATTGTGGTCAGTCGCAAGGACGATATCCTGGCTTTCATTGTCCCACCATCCTGTAAATTCGAAGACGTGCTCTTTGCCTTCTTCCTGTCTCCTATACCAAAATCGTAAAAGCTCTGTGGCGTGGACCTGCCTTAGCTTTGATGGCTCGGCGAGATTGTGACCTTCCGGAAGATATTGTACGGGAATGATCTTGTCGTACCTGGGTATCACATACTTCCATGGTATAGAAACTTTAGGGTCCCCACAGCACTTCCCTTCATGTTGTTTCAGTCACTGAATTCACCGGAAGAAGGAAATCGACGCACTGTAGTGCCATGTCAAAAATGCCCGGACGACTGCCTTCTTTGTATCTAAGTCCATGGATACGTATTCAGGGATTACAGGATATCCATCATCTCCGATGTGAAGGGTATACGTGTTGTCCTGTCTGCCTTTCTTCCGAGCAACCGGATTCTCGTCCACATCGCCCTCTGATCGCAGTTAGTTTGCACCGGATACATAATGAAGCGGCTTACCGAATACACTGGCGGCATATGCGTCCCATTCTGGCTCAATCACTTTCCAGTTGTAACTCTTCATGAACGACTCGGCACCACCGAACTCTTGGTTATAGTCATGTCTGTCTGTGGGGTGAGACGTTGTGGATCACAGCGGTCGAAAAACGCACCCGGCCACCTGGACCTTGCTCTCTCCATCCTTCCAAGCTGATAAAACGAACACTCTCATTCCCGCGCGGTTCCACATCTCCGATGAAAAATGTCGGATCATGTCGTCGCCCTTCTTTCTCGCGATCTCGACTTTGACATCGTCTGGAACACCTTGACTATTCCATTCATCGGCCGTCTCTTTGGCTTCTTGAAGGTCTTCCGGTGAAAGTGATGCCATCAGCCGGTTTAGGTAGACTGTGTAATGGTTCATCATCTCCTTTGTTCCGGGTTTGGCACCAGTCTCGTCATCGATTTTCTTCAAGAGCTCCTTTTTCCGGAGTGTGTCTATGACGCTTCTCTCGGTCCATTTCTGCCCCATCTTGATCGGGGGTTTCCCTGGTTTCTTCGCTTTGGCATGGTTGCGGAACCATGTCTCATATGTCTGAATCACGATGAGGAGCGTATCATATACCAAAAAATTAATGGCCACGCACCGCTTTACGAGCCTTGAACAGCACAATTGACATGACTGGTGCTTTCGTCCGGGCTTCCATTGTAGCTGCTTTCAATATATTCTTGCGCTCCGATGTAGAAGCAGAGCGCCATTGCTCGAGGTAAGATTGCAGGACAGCAACCTCTTCTTCATTTGCTGGAGGTTGTTTGTTGGACTCTGAATCAGAGGCAGAGTTGTGGTCGGACATCATTGAAGGACAAGGTTATTTTGAATGGGGTCTTATTTAAAATCATGACCTTTACTTAATTTGCGCTTCATTTGGCTATTAAGCGAGCCAAGCGTTAGCATGCAAATTTTGCTTGTCTTAAAATTCACACAAGTCTTCAGTCACCACATGGGCAAGTCTAGGGCAAGGACATTGGCTCCACGGGGAACGGCGCAATGGGTGACATGGAAAACAACAGAGACCACTCGCGGCTTGAAAGGGAAGTGGTGTCCAGTCAAACCCAGTCAGCCAAGCCCATCCGTGCAATCATCTCCAGCAAAGTCTCCCAGAAAACATAATTCCGATAGGGCATGGGATCAATCGTCAACCGATTTCAATGCTGACTATGAGGACTTTGGTAATAAGGAACCAATTGGTGCGCTCAACTTACCGTTAGGGAGAAAGAAGACAAAGGTGCACTACAATGTTCATGCCATTTGTTTTGTGCTGACCGATGTCCTAGAGCCCAAATGATTATCTCCGGGAATGGAAATTTCGGACTGATGATTACCTCCGGATCCTCCACGAATGAGAGGCTCCACCAGCAGATAAATCATGCTGCCTGTGCAGTGCTGAGTCAACTGTGTATAGGTGCCACGACTGTCTCGGCGAGCCATTATTTTGTTTGAAGTGCTGCAGAGATGAGCACCGGAGACTGCCCTTCCATAAGATAGGGAAATGGAATGGAGGATTTTTTGAGGAAACGTCTCTGACTAAGATGGGCATGGAAATTTATTTGGGGCATCAGGGAAAGCCTTGTCCAGTACTTGGGGAAATCCACGAATGGGAGGACACCGACGAGCCAATACATCAACCGGAAGAGGACCTCCCTACTATACTCGAACTTCCATTCTTGAACGGCAAGCAATGCATAACCATTGTTGACAAGTCCGGAGTACATTCGCTCATGATACGGTTTTGTCAGTGTCCGAATGCTTGTACCACCGACAAGCAATTATTTGAGATGGGCATGTTTCCGGCATCCTTCACCCGGCCGAAGACCGCATTTACCTTTCCGGTGCTGGATGGTTTCGCCTTGGACAACTTGGAATGCGGAACTTCGGCAATGAATTACTACAACAAGTTGAGAAGAATGACGTCAAGTATATTTCCGCAACTAGTCCCTGTAGGTGTTGCATATAGACATTCAACATCATCAAAGCTCAATTCCCCACAGGACCGTTACAGAGAACTGATGAGGGTAGCACGGCAATGGCGACAGCTGAAGCTGTTCAAATGGAATGGGTTTGGTTATGAGAGAAGAAGGCCGACATCCGGTGAACTCGCTCTCTTTTGCCCAGCTTGCCCTCAGCCCGGCATTAACGCCCCACTACCGGCCAATAGGCCACATATTACAGTGACCTATTTCCGTATAATACGAGGGAACGGACGTGCATAATATCCCGTATGATACGGGCCAGCGGACCATGGGCCCATGATCAAAATATCCTCGACTATGACGGATGGGCCGGGAGGCAAATTATTCCCGATGGAGGCGGGTGGGCCCATGCAGGGGATATATAGAGTAGATGAGTGGGCCGATGTACATGAATATTAGGTAGACGGGTGGGCCGAGGTAGTTGGATATTATGCAGATGGGTATATTAAGGTAGATGTGTATGAGATAGATGGGTAGGTACTTGTTATCACATTCACGGGTGGGCCCAGACACATATTAAATTAGATGGGTGGGCCGAGGGTATTATACAATATTGTATTATACAGGTGGGCCCAGACGCATATTAATTAGACCGGTGGGCCGAGGGTGTTGTATGGGATGTTGTATTAGACGGGTGGGCCAAGGGTGGTATAAAATATAGATGGGTGGGCCCATGTGTATCATAATTGTAAACACGATGGAGCTGAGGTAGTTGTACATCAACCAAATCAGAGGAGGTAATAAAATCAAAGTTACCAAGTTCCTGGAGCAGCAGGTGATCTCCTGACATGGCCTTTGATGGTGCACAGGTTGTCTTGCAAAATTTGGAATCCGGGGTGCGAAGCTTGTGTTACCCTATGAGAAGCCAAGTTCCGATTACCAACCTTTGGGTCAACCGTACTCAGAGGAGGTAATAAATCAAAGTTCCTGAGTTCCCGGAGCAGCAGGTGATCTCCTGACATGGCCTTTGATGGTGCACAGGTTGTCTTGCAGAATTTGGAATCCAGGGTGTGAAGCTTGTGTTGCCCTATGAGATGCCAAGTTCTGACCACCCAAATTTGGGTCAACCATACCGACTTCCAAGTTCCGGGATCCGGGAGTCGACAAATGAATATCTGATAACCAGCACACTTCCAATCAGGTAGTATTTCGTTGAGCAATGAATCATCCAAGGGGTCTCTTATCAGACTCGGTAGTCAATATAGGCAAATGATAATGAAAACATGAAAGTTGTTATTATGCTATTTTTCAAACCCGAGACCCTGAAACCCATTGTTCAACATGTCCATTTTTCACTCACTGCACAAATCACCAAGTTTCAAGTGCCAAAGCGTGAAACTTGAAACCCAGTGTGCAACATGTCCATTTTTCATGTACATTACACAATTCATTGAGTTCCGAGTGCCAAGTGCCGAAACCCGAACCCCGAGACCCGAAAATATGTATGCAACATTTCCATTTTTCACTTGTTGCACAAATCACTGAGTTTCAAGTGCCGAAACCCAAAACTCGAAACCCGGCATGCAACATGTCCATTGTTCAATTATATTACACAAGTCATTGAGTTCCGAGCTCCGAGGGCCAAAACCCGAACCCCGAGACCCGAAAATATGTACACAACACGTCCATTTTTCACTCATTGCACAAATCACCGAGTTTTGAGTGCTGAAACCCAAAACTTGAAACCCGGCATGCAACATGTTGATTTTTCATTTACATCACACAAATCATTGAGTTCCGAGGTCCGAGGTCCGAGACCCGAACCCCGAACCCCGAAAATATGTGCACAACATGTCCATTTTTTACTTGTTGCACAAATCACCGAGTTTCAAGTGCCGAAACCCAAAACTCGAAACCCAGCATGCAACATGTTGATTTTTCATTTATATTACACAGATCATCGAGTTCCGAGCTCCGAGGGCCGAAACCTGAACCCCGAGACCCGAAAATATGTACACAACATGTCCATTTTTCACTCATTGCACAAATCACCGAGTTTTGAGTGCTGAAACCCAAAACTTGAAACCCGGCGTGCAACATGTTGATTTTTCATTTACATCACACAAATCATTGAGTTCCGAGGTCCGAGGTCCGAGACCCGAACCCCGAAAATATGTGCACAACATGTCCATTTTTTACTTGTTGCACAAATCACCGAGTTTCAAGTGCTGAAACCCAAAACTCGAAACCCGGCATGCAACATGTTGATTTTTCATTTATATTACACAGATCATCGAGTTCCGAGCTCCGAGGGCCGAAACCCGAACCCCGAACCCCGAAAATATGTACACAACATGTCCATTTTTCACTCATTGCACAAATCACCGAGTTTTGAGTGCTGAAACCCGAAACTCAAAACCGGGTGTGCAACATGTCCATTGTTCAATTATATTACACAAGTCATTGAGTTCCGAGCTCCGAGGGCCGAAACCCGAACCCCGAGACCCGAAAATATGTACACAACATGTCCATTTTTCACTCATTGCACAAATCACTGAGTTTTAAAGTGCTGAAACCCGAAACTCGAAACCCGGCATGCAACATGTTGATTTTTCATTTACGTCACACAAATCATTGAGTTCCGAGGTCCGAGGTCCGAGACCCGAACCCCGAACCCCGAAAATATGTGCACAACATGTCCATTTTTTACTTGTTGCACAAATCACTGAGTTTCAAGTGCCGAAACCCAAAACTCGAAACCCAGCATGCAACATGTTGATTTTTCATTTACGTCACACAAATCATTGAGTTCCGAGGTCCGAGGTCCGAGACCCGAACCCCGAACCCCGAAAATATGTGCACAACATGTCCATTTTTTACTTGTTGCACAAATCACCGAGTTTCAAGTGCTGAAACCCAAAACTCGAAACCCGGCATGCAACATGTTGATTTTTCATTTATATTACACAGATCATCGAGTTCCGAGCTCCGAGGGCCGAAACCCGAACCCCGAACCCCGAAAATATGTACACAACATGTCCATTTTTCACTCATTGCACAAATCACCGAGTTTTGAGTGCTGAAACCCGAAACTTGAAACCTGGCATGCAACATGTTGATTTTTCATTTACATTACACAAATCATCGAGTTCCAAGTGCCAAGGGCCGAGACCCGAAGCCCAAGACCCGAAAATATGTATGCAACATTTCCATTTTTCACTTGTTGCACAAATCACCGAGTTTCAAGTGCTGAAACCTGAAACTCAAAACCGGGTGTGCAACATGTCCACTGTTCAATTATATTACACAAGTCATTAAGTTCCGAGGGCCGAGGGCCGAAACCCGAACCCCGAGACCCGAAAATATGTGCACAACATGTCCATTTTTCACTCACTGTACAAATCACTGAGTTTTGAGTGCTGAAACCCGAAACTCAAAACCCGGCATGCAACATGTTGATTTTTCATTTACATTACTCAAATCATCGAGTTCCAAGTGCTGAGGGCCGAGACCCAAAGCCCGAAACCCAACATCATGTACACAACATGTCCATTTTTCACTCATTTCACAAATCACCAAGTGTCGAGTGTCAAAACCTGAAACCCGGTACTTCAAATGGACACAAATTGTATTTGTATGTATTATCCATTGGTGTAGGGCTCAAATAACCTGGGAATTGTATTTGTCAGTACTCGGTACTTGGGACTTGGGACTTGGGACTTGGTACTTGGTACTTGGTACTTGGCACTCAGTGATCGGTGGTCAGTGGTTGGTACTTGGGACTCGGTACTCGGGACTTGGGACTCGAGACTTGGGACTTGGGACTCGAGACTCGGGACTCGAGACTTGAGACTTGGGACTCGGGACTCAGGATTTGGGACTCGGGACTCGGGATTCAGGACTCGAGACTCGGGACTCGGGACTCGAGACTCGAGACTCGGGACTCGGGACTCGGGACTCGGGACTCGAGACTCGGGACTCGGGACTCGAGACTCGGGACTCGAGACTCGGGACTCGGGACTTGGGACTCGAGACTCGGGACTCGGGACTCGGTACTTGGTACTCGGTGATTGGTGGTCAGTGGTTGGTAGTTTCTCCCTGATACCCACCAAAAAACCCACACCCACAAGGTGGGTGTGGGTATATCATGGGGTATGGGTGGGGGTAGTGCTACTCATACCCCGGGGTTCACCCACACTATTCCCTATCGGTACTCGGTACTCGGCACTCGGTGATCGGTGGTCAGTGGTTGGTACTCGAGACTCGGTAGTCAATATAGGCAAATGATAATGAAAAATGACAGTTGTAGTCCATGTCAAGGTGAGTGATTTGGTAGTCTTTCCTTGTCATTCAGCAAAACATCAGCAATAATGAAAAAATGAAAGTTGTTATTATGCTTAACTCCTTACCAAAGGTTGTAGTCCAAGTCCAGGTGAGTGTAGTGGTAGTCTTTTCTTGTCAATTGGTTATCTTGTTACTCATTACGCAGTACTTGGTACATGGTAATTGGTACTCAGTATTTGGTTTTGATACTCGGTATCTGGGAATCAGTAGTCAGCTTAATCAAGGTTGTAGTCCGAGTCTAGGTGAGTTTATTTGTAGTCTTTTCTCGTCCATTGGTTACCATGTGACCAAGATATAAGCTAAAGAAATCCAAAACATCAATAATGACAAATGAAATACATGTGTGCAGTAAGTGAGTCTAAAGATAAAGAATGAATATTAATAGCGAGACTTGCACATTATGTCGAGATATCCAACATGACAAGCCTGTGATGTGATCAGAGACCTGGAATAACACCCATATACATCCATTATAATAGCTTAAAAGCTTAGAAATATTCATGAAGGATTGATGTAATGATAGGCAAAATGATGTGTGGAGAGTGACAGTAGACATCTTTTATATAAAGTCACATTTATATATGATTCAGGCCGAAAATATCATTACAAATATGTAGGATAGATTGTAAACTACCCAAGGAACACATACTGCCTACTGCCCTGAGGGTAGGGGGTGGGTAGAAGGGATATAGTGAAAATATGAGTTGGCCCAGCATTAAAGTCCTACCACTGCTCAACTAACCATTTTCGATGCTTTGGGTCTTTGAAGTTTCCCACACTCAATTTCTTACCCATTTCACTTCCTCAGTACTCGATTCTTGGTTGATTTGTCTGTAAATTTATGTCTATGATACTTAAGATATTTGAAATGTACCCCAGGTTTCTGATTATGAAGATTCAATGTTTTGAAGGCATGGGCCCCTTATCAGGCAAAATGGCAAGTATGCACACTAGCTCACAAACTCCAGCCTATTGTGAGCTGATCTTGGTCATAAGAAGCAAGAATATAAGCTATGCTCATTATATATTAAAAGGTTGGATCATGGATGCAAGGGCAAGATACTGAAAATTGTGAAAAAATGTCACAAGTGCAATTGTCTATGCTTTGTTCCTGGAGAAGGATCCTGTGTGTCCTGGGCTGGTTATATGATATATCTACTCCGAATATGCTCAGGAATAGACTCCCTACAGTCCTTGAGGTCCAGCTTTACAGGGAAAAACCCCCAGCGGGTGAACCACCAGAAGAGGGGGAGGTACACTATACAATAAAGGATTACCCTATGGTCCTGAGCTCCTGATACATTGTTTCTATTGTTGAATAGATGATTGAGATATAATTCCAAAGTCTGTTCACCTAGAAATGAACACATAGGAACATATTTTGTATTTTTATGTATATATGCAATATCCATTTAAGCACCAAGTCTCAACTACCGATTACCAAGTCCCGACACTTGATAGTTGATAGTCAGTATTTGAGCTCCGAGTGCCAATATTGCCTACCAATATCTCAGTCAAATGATAACCAAACCAAGACCCAAGTTCCAAACCTGACTACCGAATACCAAATATCAGTACTCGGGACTCGGGACTATTGGCTGGAGTACCCAACTATTGATTCCCAGGTACCGAGAATTAGAACCAAGTACCAAGTACCTGACTACTGATTCTTGGGTACCAAGTATCAGAACCAAGTACCAAGTACCCGACTACTGATTTGAAGTACCGGGTTTCGGGTTTTGGCACTCGACACTTGGTGATTTGTGCAATGAGTAGATGGGCATGTGGCATACATGTTTTTGGGCTTCGGGTTTTAGGATTCTGCCCTTGGCACTCAATGATCTGTGTAATGTAAATGAATAATGAACATGTTGCACACTGGGTTTCGAGTTTCGGGTTTCAGCACTTGAAACTCGGTGATTTGTGCAACAAGTGAAAAATGGAAATGTTGCATACATATTTTCAGGTCTCGGGGTTCGGGTTTCGGCCCTCGGCACTCGGAACTCAATGAATTGTGTAATGTACATGAAAAATGGACATGTTGCACACTGGGTTTCAAGTTTCACGCTTTGGCACTCGAAACTCGGTGATTTGTGCAGTGAGTGAAAAATGGACATGTTGTGTACATATTTTCAGGTCTCAGGCTTTGGGTCTCAGCCCTTGGCACTCGGAACTCGATGATTTGTGTGATATAAATGAAAAATCAACATGTTGCACACTGGGTTTCAAGTTTCACGCTTTGGCAGAACTCGAAGTTGTTGATTTAGATATCACCCAAAACCTGAACACCCGAATGTCAAATTTTCAGTGCCGAACCCCCAACCCTGACTGCCGGGTGCTGAGTCCCAAAGTCCGGAACTCAGGATTTGACATTTGAGATGAACGAAATTTTTCAGACATGTTTGAATTAATCTACGTATATCTATAAACATTTCACTAACCCCTGAACCCTGAAAGATATTTTTGTTGTCTTACATACCAAATTCCGAGTTCCGAGTTCTGGGACCCCGGACCCCCGAAACCCGGCAGTCCACAATTTCGGAGTTCGGGGGTTGGTAAAATGTGTATGGATATATGAAGGGTTGGTTTAAACATTTTAAAAGATGTCTCATATCAAATGTCAAGTCCCAAGTTTCGATTTCCGGGTTTCAAGAGTGCTGAGTCCCGAAGCCCGGAGTCCCGAAACCCGGAGTCCTGAAACCCGGAAATCAAAACTCAGGACTTGACATTTGATATGAGACATCTTTCAGAAATGTTTCAATCAACCTTTCATATATCCATGCACATTTTACCAACCCCTGAACCCCGAAATTGTGGACTGCCAGGTCTCGGGGTTCGGGGGTCCTGGAACTCGGAACTCGGGAAATTTGGGGAGATCAATAAAATTTGATTTACCCATGTTGAAAATATATTTTTGTTCTACATACCGAGTTCCGAGTTCCGGACCCCCGAACACCGAGACCCGGCAGTCTCGGGGTTCGGGGTTCGGGGGTCCCGGCACTCGGAACTTGGGGAGATTTGGGGAGATCAATAAAATTTGATTTACAATTGAGTTGATTGGCAAACACATTGACTTACCCATGTTTGAAATATATTTTTGTTTACACATACTGAGTTCCAAGTTCCGGGTTCCGGGCCTCCGAACCCTGAAACCCGAGACCCGGCAGTCCACAATTCTGGGGTTCAGGGGTTGGTAAAATGTGTATGAATATATGAAAGGTTGAATGAAACATTTTTGAAAGATGTCTCATATCAAATGTCAAATCCCGAGTTTCAACTTCTGGATTTTGGGAGTGCCGAGTCCCGAAACCTGGAGTCTTGAAACCCGAAATTCGAAACTCGGGACTTAACATTTGATATGAGACATCTTTCAAAAATGTTTCATTCAACCTTTCATATATTCATACACATTTTGCCAACCCCTGAACCCCAGAATTGTGGACTGCTGGGTCTCGGGTTTTGGGGTTGGGGGTCCAGAACTCAGAACTCAGTATGTGTAAACAAAAATATATTTCAAACATGGGTAAGTCAATGTGTTTGTCAATCAACTCAATTATGAATCAAATTGTATTGATCTCCCCAAATTTCCCCCGAGTTCCGAGTTCCGGACACCCGATACCCGAGACTCAAATTGTATTGATCTCCCCAAATTTTCCCAAGTTCCAAGTTCCGGACACCCGACACCCAACACCCGGCAGTCTCGGGTATCGGGTGTCCGGAACTCGGAACTCGGGGGAAATTTGGGGAGATCAATACAATTTAATTTACAATCGAGTTAATTGACAACACATTGACTTAATCATGTTTGCAATATATTTTTGTTTAGACATACCGAGTTCCGAGTTCCGGACACCCGATACCCGAGACTGCCGGGTTTCGGGTGTCGGGTGTCCGGAACTCGGAACTTGGGAAAGTTTGGGGAGATCAATACAATTTGATTCACAATCAAGTTGATTGACAAACACATTGACTTAACTATGTTTGCAATATATTTTTGTTTAGACATACCGAGTTCCGGACACCCGATACCTGAGACCCGGCAGTCTCAGGTTTCGGGGTCCGGGGGTCCGGAACTCAGAACTTGGTATGTCTAAACAAAAATATATTGCAAACATAGTTAAGTCAATGTGTTTGTCAATCAACTTGATTGTGAATCAAATTGTATTGATCTCCCCAAACTTTCCCAAGTTCCGAGTTCCGGACACCCGACACCCGAAACCCGGCAGTCTCGGGTCTTGGGTCTCGGGTGTCCGGAACTCAGAACTCGGTATGTCTAAACAAAAATATATTGCAAACATGGGTAAGTCAATGTGTTGTCAATCAACTCGATTGTAAATTAAATTGTATTGATCTCCCCAAATTCTCCCAAGTTCCGAGTTCCGGACACCCGATACCTGAGACCCGGCAGTCTCAGGTTTCGGGTTTCAGGGGTTGGTACATCTCAGTATGGGGTTTGGCACTGAAAATTTGACATATATATTTTTGTGAGTGTTGTGCTTCTGGTGTCCATGCTTAGAAATAGGATTTGTTGCACACCAGGGTTCAGGTGTGGGGTTTTTCCACTTCAGTCCTGGATTATTGGTCAATGCCACACATGATCGATTCATGTTTTTGTGCTTAGGGGTTTAGATTTGGTGGTTGATGGTAGGTATATGCACTCATAGTGTACATGTATCCTATGTGTTTGATTCGCTGGTGGCTACATCAGCTGTATGTCTTGATGGAACATATCTAGGCTCACCCATATATGTAATACACCCCCGACGGCCCGCCCATCTATGTATTATCCCCCACGTCAGCCAACCCATCTATGTAATACATCCTATGTTGGCCCACCCGTCTATATAATACATCCTGCATCGGCCCACCCGTCTATATAATTATACCCCACCTCGGCCCACCTGTCTATGTAATAAATATTTTATAGCACCCTCGGCCCACCGGTCTATTTGATATCCCTTTCGTCGGCCCACCCGTATATGTAATACATTCCATGTCGGCCCACCTGTATATGTAATACACCCTACGTCAGCCCACCCGTCTATGTAATATTTCCCTACCTCGGCCCACCCATATATGTAATACACCCACGTCGGCCCGCCCGTCTATATAACAATATTTGCCTTACATCTCTCTTCAGCCCAGCTGTCTATAATATCCTACTCTACATATTACCCAGATGGGCCCACCCATCTCCATGAATGATCATATTCCCCCGGCCCATCCGTCAACATTAAGGATATATATATCATTGGCATACATGGGCCCACCCGTCTCCATCGGAAATAATATGTGTCCCGGCCCATCCGTCATCATCGAGAATATACACAACATGGGCCCATGATCAGCTGGCCCGTCTCATACGGGATATTATGGAGGTTGGGTGGCCCGTATAATACGGAATTTGTCACTGAAGGGGCTCAATAGGCACCCCGATGATCCCAGTTGGCTATATGCCCGATCGCTGGTCATGGATGGCAACTTCAAAGCAGAGCACCTTCATCCTACTCACCCGGAAGACGAAGTCTGGTTGACTGATGGCCAGTGCTTCATGGTTTCCAAAGACCGATATAAGGCTCATCTAGCCATTGCCAAAGACGTTGTTCAACCGTCCGAGTGCAACAATCACCGAGCTGTAAACCAGGCCAATGCGTCACGACACAAACTAGAAGCTACCGGGATAGGCGGGTGCGCGTGCGCCCGCCACGGCTGTTTTGTACCTCATTCGGTTGTGGATTTTCAAAAGGGCGAACAGTATGTTTCATGATTCCACCGATTTTGATTCACGAGGTGACTTCCGTGATTAGGCAAATGAATATGGACTACGCCCTATGTAACGCGTTAAGCCACCGCACAAATGGGCTCAGTCAAGCTTTGACATTTTATGACATTAATTGTCAGTATAACAAGCACTTCCGGCGTCGGGTGAACGAGAGCCTCTATTTGAGCCTCCCTTCTGGAATGGAGATCATACTGGGAATTGGCCTCTGGCATGTTCATGGACACCAAGACAAATGCTATGTTCGGTACGCATCAACGTTTATCACCGGGGCCGCTAGGATCGACGGAGAAATTATGGAGACGTTGTGGGCGCCTCTGAATATCATTTCTCCCGCCACAAGAGGGATGTCGACTCCCCATCGGCAAGAGTGTCTTGATTACCAGATGAATGACTCTAATTTTATGAAGATGATTCGCATGAGTTGAGCTATGAATATCCTTGGTGAAGATTTTCTAATGGCATTGATATAGGCAGTTTTCTTTGCCAGAAATATAAGGAAGCTATGAAAGGCGTCGCAGAAAGTGCCTCTGCTTTTGACAAGCTCAATGAAACCGCCGATCCTATCATGATTGCAACATGGGAAGAACAAGACCGATATGCACATTCATGTCGAGTCGCCGATCCATCGGTGATGGATGTATTTGAAGTTCAGTTAAAGAGGGGTGAGTTTCTGCTCCCTCAGCTTCCGCCCCACAAAACTGATTGCATGGACCAGCACCAACTCGGAAGCAGCAGGAGCTAGCTTTGCTGTCCTCCCGGGTAGGCCGATTGGGTGGGAATCTGCAACGAGGTGCTGCTACATGGATTGCATCCGGCATTACCATAGAAGAGATGCAGATCGCGCTGACTATGGATACTAGGAGGCTTGGCAGACACCCCACGGAAACCCAAACCTTGGATATATGCAGACGTCGGACAAAATTGCAAAGTCGGATAGATGAGTTTACAACAGTGGCCGCGACACATCTCGGCGAGGGCTTTGACATTGATGATGAAATCAGAGATCTTCACTTGGACTTCATGGATGACGATTCAGAAGATGAAGGGATTAATGGCAGTGATACAGAATCCGAACCCGAAGCACATGGACGTCGGCTGCGGGATCTCTTCTACCCCGAGAAGACCGTGATACCTCTGCCATCTAATTTCGGCGTAGCACGCTGTGCGGAGCTGGGAGTTGAACACCTCATTGGTCAGGAAATTGCACTTCGGGAAGGTCAGGCCAACGATGCCTTGCAAGCGATAAGAATGCATCTAGCGGATAAGGCTGTGCTCTTTCGTACCGCCGTGCGTCCGGCGAAATCACAAGCCAAGTCAACGAGGGCATGGACGCAGGTTCATTCGGTTGAAAGGGTCATCCGACTCAACACGATGATTTATATGAAATGTCGGGCACAACTAGGAAACCTAGATGCTCATGGCCTACTTAAGAAGTATCTCCGGATGGAAAAGTGCCATCTCAAAACCACTGCTGCTGTGGCGGACCCGAATGCCCGGGGGCAGCGAAATGCAACTCTCCCGTGGTTCTGGTCGCTAGACGTACAAGGCGATTCTGTCAGCAGCGATTGGATGAATGAATGTACGTCAGTTGTAATCCGGATATTTCGAGCCGAGGCTCAAGACACGACAGTTTACAGGGTTCATTGGCTTCGCACGAAAGCATTACACGACCGATGGGCGGAAGAACTCATACTCGTTGAACATGAAATGGGGTGGACTCTGGAGTTTTTCCTCTTCAAAGCAAGCACGTGGTTGACAAGGCTCACATCGAATGGAGAGGCACAAACGGAGGGACACAAGTGTTATGCGATTCGGCAGGCCCATATGTACCAAGAACTTGCCAAACACGCACAGGCTGGCTTTATAAAGACAAATCCAACCTTCCGGCCAATTTCTTAATATATAGTCGTAAGAAGTCGTTCATAGACCTGATATCTCATAGACAGCCAACTTTTTCATAAAATGGAGCATTCTCAATCCTTACTGCATTCGGTGACGTTGAGCAGACGCTCAGCATTGAAATTGATAGCACCGCAATGTATCTTGTTTTGGGGGCTATGCGTTCACCTAGCTGGGATTTATCTATTCGCAAAGGGATCCCTCCTCAATTGACTCGCACTCCCCGACATAAGTGTAGACGCCTTCACTTCACTCGCTGCCCACAAAAGAGTTGACCTGCTCGTCATAGACACCCTACGCTTTGATTTAATCGCAGAAAGCCTGCTCGAACCTGTTTCACCTTTCCATGATAGCATTCGGACTCTACTAGAAAATGGTGGGTCCGGTTTTGGTTCGGAACGCAACAAAACCAAACTGGACCACAGAGAACGGTTCTCCGTGGTCTGGTTATGGGTTCGGACATTTCGTAGAACCGAATCGCTGGTCCAGTTCTGGGTTCTCCTCAATGACCCTCTGAACCGGACCGAATCTGACCACGGCAGCACTACTACTGGGCTACAATTGCCAAATTAGCTAGCTCATTTCATATATAAATCATATCAGTAGTTATCTGTTACATGGGCTACTTGTTCGGCCGCACTTGTCAAATGCATTTACAACTGCTACTAGTAGAATAATTGCAATGCAGTGACAAAATTGTATAAGCTGGGCGGCGAATAAGTAATGGGGTTTTGACAACAAATAAGTTCTGGCCAGTGGATCCGAGCATAGGGTTTCAGAAGTATCACATGTGGAGATCGTGGGGAAAATGAGCATAAGAAGTTTAATCGCACCCTGACCAAGATGGGTGGATGCAGGGCAGCACAGAGTCTGGCTCGTTCAAACATGCAGTATCAGTTTATCTGGACATTGGTGGATGGATTATTAGTATTACATCCGAATGCATAGGACAATAATAGAACCACTCCCAAGTACAATACCGTTGCCACTGATCCACATTTCCCTATCCACAAGCCACAAGTCCCCAGCATTACTCATGACCGGATTGATTACAATCCAGACTTGTCGGAATTTTCCAAGTCAACTTCTCATATCTGCCATATTTACCCTGTTCACCACTGTGTTTCTTTCAAATCAGACATCATGGCCGTACCTCCCGAAGTAGCAAATGATGCCCTGAATGCCATGCTCGCTGTCGTGCAATCGCTCGTTCAGCGCTGCATCAAGGTGAAGAAGGGTGATCCCGAGGCCTTAAGGCTGTCGGACGAGATTGCCAGGCGTGTGGTGAGTGTTTGTTACGTTTGTTTCAAATTTTCCGTGTTAAACTAAGACATTCGACACAGGCAAAAGACTTAAAACTATACAGTGGGAATGCTACATCATTCTCCCCACAGCTACTCTCATTTGCCGCCGTTGTGAGACAGCACTCAAAGGGCGGGGCCTTTGAAAACGTCCCCGACTGGACCTCCGTCACCAATGACGACCCTCGGATAAAGAATCACCCACGATTCGAGAAGACCGTGGACTATCGCCCCCCCTCCACATTTAACCATCCCGCCATCGGGACATCGACTGATATTCCCGCCACCGTCCCAATACCACCGGCCATCATCGTCCCACCATCGACTCCCTCGACTCCGCCATCTATGCCATCCCAAACGGACCTGGATGTCATTGCTACACCAGTAGAGGAACCGAAACGATGGTTGCGAGCGGCCAAGAACCCGCCCCGTGTCGGTCGTCCAGCACATCCGCCCCTAAGATACCGACATTTGTATTTTCCAGAAGCTGAGAGGGAACAATGGAAGATAGCTTCCGCGGCCGGCGATAGCAAGAAGAGGAAGGCGGAAGATGAAGATACTGATGGGACCAAAGTTGCCAAAAAGATGAGGAAGGTGAAGTCCGATGTCGAAAAAGAGCCAACCGGAGGAGTCATCCATGTAAAACGAAGGGTATGTCCATTCATCTTTGATCAGGCATCCAACAGCTTACCGCTCCAGGAATTGCCGCCTGTCGCTACTGACAAGGACGTTCTCCTAGTCGCAGACAAGGATTTCCTGGATGCAGAAACTCGGGTAAGTGATTCTCACATAAGCATAGCGCGGACGTTGAGCCATTTTTAAGCCTGCAGAATGGGGCTCGGATTCTGATGTCGCTACTCCTTGGCAGGTAAGTCTGTGTATGCATCGTGATAAATACGGGCTAATGAATTTGAAGCATTCCGTTCATTACCACCCCCGGCGCTGCGACAAGTGTGCCAAGTTGGACGTAGCCTGCCTTGTCCTCCCCGACAAGAAATTCGGGTATACACGCCTCGCCTGCGCCAATTGCGACAACATGAAGATCGCGTGCGCAATCGACGGCGTTGGTGTCCGGCAGAGGTTGCAAGGTAATGCGGCGAAAGCATCCTCTGACGCGTGCAAAACCCCCAAGACGTCCAAGTCCCGAGCTGTCTCCGAAAAATTCGCGGCGCGTCCTTCTCGCTCTCAACGGAGCATTGCTTGTAGCAAAGGTACATTTTCTTCGTGGCCTCGGAACGAGTTGAGCTCATTGGATTCGGTAGGAGCGGAGAAAAAGCCCACGGAGGTCCTTCCGGGTCAGGCTCAAATACAGCTGGAAAACCGGCAATCACCTGCGCCCACCAACCTGCTGGAACCAGAGCCCACTGCAAGAGAAATCTTGCAGGGCATCCAGGACCTCGGTCGGAGGTTGGATCTCCTCGCCGCCAATGAGCGGGTAGACGCGTTGGAGGTCAGAGTGGGTTCAGTTGAGACCAACCTGCTTCAGCGGTTGGACGAGTTAGAGCTCCGGCTCAACGAATCTGATGCCCGGTGGAAATCTTTGGAATCCATAAAATAGATGGACGACGTTATGACGACTTTAAATAGTCACTAGTTATATAGGATGGATCTGATCGCGGGACCCCCGCATGTACTGTAGATATTCCGGAGGACTGTGTACTGTTAGAATATTGCTTGTTCAGCCTGGCGCTGCATTTGTATCCGAGTTCAATAAGTTGAGTCCATGCAAATTGTGTATGTGGTATTGTTATCAGATCTTTGTCAAATCATAGTGTTGCTTCATTCTAACTAAAAGTTGGGACCTGAGGATGTGCAAATCATCTTCACATGTGATTATTGTACCGGCAAGTGCATCCAGGAGTCCGGTGGACGAAAGCGTGAGCCGGGCAATAGGAGTACCCTCTTGGTTCCGCGAATCACCGTGATACTGGCCAGACTGCGCCTGCGTATATCCGACATGATTTAGCATCATACACAGAAGGTGCATCCGGAACTGATTGTCATCACCCACCATATCAAGTGGTGATGACCTGATATGTGGTTGTCTGATTGTACTAGCTTCCGGAACCAGTCATCACGGTGCAGTTCTGAATAGCGACAACCAATCTATTTAATACCGATACAGTGCTGAAAATTTCTGTTTATAATGAGACATATCCATTCGGGAGTTCGCATTCGGAGTCACCTTTGTAAAGGCCCACGTCGCCATCAACATCCGGGACCACTGGTGCTCGATGAAATTTTGCCGAGATTTTAAATTACCGAGGTATGATGCTGACTACTCAGAGTCCAAAACAGCATGTTCAGTGTTCCAGCCCCAACATTCCCAAGCCCCAACGAGACCCGAATGCATTACTTACTTGCTTGGCTGATATATTATATTACTGACCGAGCGCATCCGTCAACATGTCCCGAGCATCAATGTATATGCATTAATTAAACTCACCGATTGTGCTCAAAACGACTAGCTGGGCCTTCCGTTTTCCCTGCCGCAATGCAATATCAATGGGTGGCACATCGTGTCGCTTGAGCCTTCCGGAAGTTGCCCAAATCAAGATACACACATACTGGGCCTACAATTTACCCACTGGGCCTGATCCGCACGCCGAATTGGTACCAGAATGACCAGTTGGGCTCCTCCAGGTACTTGTGCACTGGGCCGATCTGCGTATAGAGTTTCTATGCACTAGGTTCAGAACAACCGGTTGCGCCAGATACTTCTGCATTGGGCCGATCCGCGCTACGAATGTGTATGGACTGGGCCAGTCGGGCCCCTCCGTATCAGCACTCTCTGGGCCGATCCATACATTTCCTTTGCACCGCCGTCTGCAACCGCAACAAGCCTTAACCCACTTCTCACCCATGCGGTTTGTGTCCGATGCATCAATCGCATAATAAGGACATCGTCGGCTGTGTTGACTTCTAGCCGGAGATCGTAGTCTTGTGCAAAAGATCGCTCGGACATCCCGATGCATTCCAGACAGCAAACATTATGAATAGAGGAAGGCATCAAGAGCAATGTCTGTGACAGTCCGAGGTTCCATTGATGGCGGCCTAGCCGATTATAAATCAATGGCCCAGCGGACGTATGAGCGGGACGGAGGAAGCATAATTGGCCCTCGCGCAAACAGGATATCGGACAGGTCCGGCGATGCCAACTCTTCGTTAATGAAGGGCATCTCGGATGGCCCAGCTAATGTTAATGGCTCATCAAATGGCGTCAGCCCCGCGGACGATATGCCATATTCTGCCAAGGCGCAAATAGGATATCGGAAGTGCCTGGCGGACCCATCATTGGGACGTCGTCAGAACCCTGGGTCGGTAAGGGTCTTTGCCTATCTGCCGCTCTGGTCGAGCACAAACTACATGAAGGTTCTGTCTGCCACCCGACCAATTTGTTATCTTTGCCCGATGGGCCCGGAAATCATCGCCATCGCAAGGGATGACGGATGGTCCATCCGTAGCCCCTTCCATCATGCAACATACATGCTGCACACATCCGTCACCATTCTCGGGAATACACACACGTTGAGTCCACCCGTCGCCTTCGCCGAGACCAAATCTACGGGCTCCACCATTCTCGGCTATATACGACGAGTGCTGGGCCCATCCGTCGTCCTTTCCGATTCCACAGTCATGGGTGGAAGGGTCTATTCCTGAGTTTCTTCCAAGCACATTCAGCCCATCAGCCACCATTTTCGCGAGCAAATAAGCATGTTCTGGGCCCATCCATAGCCTTCCCCGAGACTCCACCCGAAGTTATTCTATCCATGGGGGACTGGGCCCGTCCGTTGCCTTTTCCGAGTTCAAACACAGCGGACTGGGCCCATCCGTCACTGTTTCCGAGACCGCATCTGCATATGCACTGGCCCAATTTGCCTTTTCTGAGATGAAATCCACGGTGGGCCCATCCGTGGTGATTTTCAAGATTACATGCAATCCGCTGGGCCTATCCTCGGGCATTGCACGCCCACCCAGGTCGCACATTTTGGGCCCATCCGTTGCCCTTGTTCCCGAGCATGCCTACAAGCTGGGCCCATCCGTCACAATTTTCGCAAATCCGCCTGGCCCATTCTCACCCTTAGGCATGCAGGCCCACCCGGTCACACATTTTGGGCCCATCTGTTGCCCTGTTTCCCGAGCCCATATGTACACATACATGCGGGCTGGGCCCATCCGTCACAATTTTCGCAAATCCGCCTGGCCCATTCTCACCCTTAGGCATGCAGGCCCACCCGGTCACACATTTTGGGCCCATCTGTTGCCCTGTTTCCCGAGCCCATATGTACACATACATGCGGGCTGGGCCCATCCGTCAAAATTTTTCGCAAATCCGCCTGGCCCATTCTCACCCTCAAGCATGCAGGCCTACCAGGTCACACATTTTGGGCCCACTCATCTCTATGGACCTCACACCTCAGCCCAGCCGCCAGTGTCGGTGATTTCTGCACTGTGGGCCCACCCGCTCCCACCCACCCATGGGCCCACCTTGGATGGCCCGGTTACCTGGGCAGAATCTCAACCTTTGGCTGTCCGACTAAGTCGGAAAATGTTACTGAATGGGCTCCTACTATGGGCGCGCTAACTGGCGCGCTTGGCGCGGGAAAAGCGCGCGCAGGTAATAGGAACTGCGCAGCTGCAAAGATGTCCATGAATGGGTAGGGGTCATATGGATGGTGGTCGGGGAACTTGATCATAAGGCGCAAGCGGATTTGCGCCTGAGCATCGCTAGGGATTCCTTCCATGAATAAGCGGTCGCGCTCAGCCTTTCCAATGCGGTCTTCTTCCATGAGTGGCTGCATAACCTTCCTGAATGCGCGCAGGTAATTGCTGAGTTCTGTGCAAGAAGGCATTGGTTTGTTAGCGTATTCGCGCGCGATGGCGCGCAAGTCTGCGAGCGCATAGCGTCTTTTACCATCCCATCCAGGATACATTACCTTCACCTCATCTAAGAAGGCGTCGTAATCATCTACTGCCGCTTCTGGCATGCCTCCCCATAGTTCTCGATCATCGCGCGCAAGGTAGCGGATAATACCTTTGATGCGGTCGAGTCCTTGGAGTCCTGCTTCATCAGCGAGCTGCTCATATGCGTCAATAAATTCAGCGAGGTTGTCTGTAGTACCGTCAAACTTGGGCGCATTTGCTGTGCCGCGGATGGGCATTCTATAAGGCATTGAGGCACGTGAAAGGTGCGCGCGCAAGGCGCACAGGCGTGGGAAAGCACGCGCACAAGGCACGAGAATGCGTGACTAGAAATTGGTTAGCTTTTGAATATGCAAAGAGATTGACCTTTATGTGTTAAATAGTGTGAAGTGCGAAGATGCGCAAAACTAGATCTTGCTGACTGCTCCCCTCGCGGTGGGCTCCAGTTGTAGAAACAACAATACTGAGAGGAACAAAAGATGCTCCTAACTGTATCTAAAAATGTTGTAGGTCGAGTGTTGCCTAGTCTGCGTTACCTGAGGAGACAAGTGCGTTCGACCCTAAAGGGGAAGCGAGTGCAGCCAAGATCTAGAGGTACGCGCTTCAGCGAAGCGCGAGAAAGCGCAGGTGCGCGCAAGGCGCGGGAACACGCGCGCGTATTAGCGCGAAGCGCGGGAAAGCGCGCGCACGTATGCGGAAAATGATAAAGACTAGACTCAAGTGATAATATAATGCAAGAAAAGAGAAGGGAGATGTGAAGTATAGACAAATAGACTTCTACTATATTCTGCTAAGTAGTAAGTAAGTGATAACTAGTAATTGGGAGGTAAAAGTCAGGTTCTAGTGTAGTATGTACTGCTGGCGCTTATATAGCGTGCCTAAGCGCGGTCATGCGGAGCCGAAGCGCTACCGAGTAGGTATGTAAAAATATATATGAGTGAGAAACTATGATAAAAATAAAGGTGGAACTATGCTAATAAAGGAAATGGAAATATACGTACTAGGGAGCTTGGTGGACAGTGGATGGATGCATCTGAATGGCTGGTGCTATAGGGTGCGGGAACGCGCGCGCATACATCGTGAAGTGCGGGAATGGTGCGCGCATGGCGCGCGTTGCGCGGGAAAGCTGCGCCTCATATAGAGATAGTTGCGGGTAGCGCACAGAGTGACACTACAAGTTCGTGCTATGTACTTCCTAGTGTAAAGCGCCATATCAGACCATGAGATGCACGAGTCTCTACAGCGCATCAATTTCGGCCTCGCCGTAAGCTGATTTGATCCAAGAGATAAGGTGTTTGACAAGGCCTTGATATATCTGGTGGAGAACGTCGGGAGTGATTGCATTATATATATTACAGTGCAGGAGTCCCTCCCAGAAAGGATGATAAAGTGGTTTTATTCCTGAAATGAGTGCAAGAGTCAGAAACGGGTAAAACATAGTCAAAAAACCTTACCTGCATCTCGACAAGCCTTGGTGAATTGAGTCGGATCTTCATTGACGAGAGCGAGTGCATGTAAGATTTGATCCAAATCACGCATCTCAAAAGGTAGATCTTTGCTCCCAAGCTCCGTCGAAGGTATATCACATTTCGGACACTCTCCAGTCTTCATCCCAGTCACCAAGAGTTGCTCTGGGTAATCTCCAATATAACAGGCCAAAAGAGGGTGACCACGACGAAGGACTCCATCGCCACTGGCTATTGACATCCCATCCTTGCCTGGCACAATGAGTGGCTCAACAATGTGACGGACACATGCGTGAAAAAGATTCGCAAGACAACGACACTGTGCTGCTTTGTTGGTGATGTGCTCCAGCTTTGTTGTGGGAAGATAACTGACAAGTATCTGCGCGTTACGAGAGGGTTGTCGTCGTATTTCTTTGGGGAGGTTTCCGATAGTCATGTAAATTGGGTACGCTGACTTGTTTCGAAACATCGTGACTTGGGTCTTGTCCGATGAGAGCAGGATGGGGATTATAGTTGCGCCAGTTTTTTTCGTTTTCGAGACGTTTCTATACATTCAACTCAATTAGTGCAAGGCCCCAAGTCATGTATTAGTTCTCTCACCTGCGTATGCCACCACCAATTGCCTGTATACATATCATGATATATCCTCTGAGTCTTGTCCTCATCGGAATAGTGTCGTTTGGGGGCGAATACCAGGTGAGGTGCAAGTTCCGGATCTCCGAACAGTGCCTTGACGCATTGTAGGATATCCCAAAAGTATACATCAAAGGCCTCGCCAGCAACCAGGATCTCCTGGCGCCTAAAACGAGGACGGTGGGCAGGGATTTTGCTGTCGATAATGTGGTTTAGCTCGCGAGAATTCCTGTAAGAGAGGCCAAGCCGTTCGCAAACCTGTTGAAGTCAGTACCATAGTATTGCCAGAGAAAACATAAACTCACACCGTCAATGTTAAGTAGATCTGAGAAGGCAGTCGAACCTTGCCCCCTTAGCTTGGCCCACCAGGCGACTTCATAGTCAATATGTGAGGTGAACAGGGCCCAGACACAGCTAATTCCATCTTCACTCATCTTTTCACCATATGACTGATATCCATTTTGCTCACTAACAATTTCATCAATTGTGGCTCCAGCAGTGTGAAGCGGAAAGGTTGCAATATGAGGGTGATGGTCCAGAGGAAGTTCGGCTTCGTGACGACGAGTGCGTTCATCAGGAAAACCCTCCGATACAAACCTAGACTAAGTGTAACAAATTTCTCAAAAGTTAGACAAGTTATACCAAGTAATACAGAATAGCACTAATTCAATTATTCTTTCTAAAATATTGCTAATGCGATATAGCATTATCTGAGAGTTACGAAACTATGTCTATCAATATAGCAGTTAACGAAGAAGGTGTCACATTCTTCGAGAACATTGTTACTTGTCCAGTGTCGAGGTACAATAGCTCCGAACTTTGGGATAAGATGGACACTGCGGGCAATATTTGAAACAGGAATGATACTTGCCACCCTCTCGCCAGACTGAATGAATCGGCTAACTTTGTACATGCCGTGCCTGGGATCTGGTGTCGCAGGAAAGGGAGTAAACCATTCGACATACGCAAGGTGCTTGGGAGGCTGGTTTACTGGAGGGAACAATAGTTGTGTTGCCGTTGCAGGAATTGAGAAAATGACACGAACTTGGCCTATGCGGAAGCCTAGCAACAAAATTATCGCTGACGCTATAACAGTGTGAATCCAGTGAAGTGTAGTGCCATACCTTTGATGCCAACAGAGCTGCCAGTACCATCGTTGATAAGTGCAGTATCGAAACGTGCTGGTACTACATCATCCATTTGGAGAGCAGCGCGTTGGGGTTTAGCGTGTATGCTATCCACCGTCACAAGTGGATCGCCATGCCCTCGAGCGTCAGTCGATAACCACTTTATCTTGTGATATACGGGGACGGAGTGGAATGGTAAATGGATACCTGCAGCGACGTTCTCCAGCCGCTGACAAGTGAAAACCTCATTTGGATTCTGTTGTTCTGCAATGTACCGAGCAAGTGCTTCTCGGAAGTAAGTTGCGCCATAGTCAGATATCAATGTTGGAACTGAGACAGCTTTGGCGCTTGGATGCTTTGTCATTTTTAGGGTGCGGTCGAGGCGTAGGTCAGGTGGACGCGGTTGATAAGGAGCGCGATCTCTATCAAGGCACCATTTTATGTACTGCTCGTGATGGATGATCTTCTCCTTTCGTTCTAGCCATCGTGTCATCTGCGTGAATTCGTGCTTGTGATTGGTAGCACGATAGGCATCCTTGGCGAGATCTATATGCAGCCTTTCAGTGTACTCGGTGTTGTAGTTATCCGTTGTCCCAAACATCCGAATCATAGACATATAATGACGTATTGCATGGAGTTTTGGAAGGTTGAAGTTGTTTCGGATTCCAAGGTCAACGAATATCTCCTTGTTGTCGTGAAAGAGTGCGCGAGCTTCATCTAGTAAAAGTAATGTTTCAGAGCTATGACATGGATATTGCGCAAGGTAGAGGAAGTCGAGGAGACCGCGTACAGCCTTTAGAAGGCGAGACGAAGCAAGATTTCCAGGAAGCCGGATGTCAATAATGATGCCAAGGAGGAAGCGACATATTTGGCTGTGTTCAGTACCACTGAGGCGACTGAGACTGGTAATACCCTTCATGAATAGTCGGATATGATGGTTGGGAGGTAACCGACGGCATCGTGCATCGATCTCTGCAGCTCCACACGCTTGTGCTAACCATCCAAGCAAATGCTTGACGAGACCCTGATATAGTTGGTGCAGCATGTCAGGCATGATTGCCTGAAAAATGTTTGTATAGGGCAGGTCCTCCCAGAATGGATGGACAACTGGTTTGATTCCAGCAGCACGACATGCTTGTACAAAGGCCAGGTCACCTTCATCGATCAGAGCGAGAGCATCCAACACAGCATGAAGATCGCGTATATCGCATTGCGCTGTATTACTTTCGAGTTCGTCTGTGGGAACATCGCACTTCAGGCACTCCATCGACTTCACTCCAGCAGCAAGTAACTGCTCAGGATAGTCACCAACTGAAGCACGCGAACAATGGGTGACAACGACGTCGTGCACCATCGCCACTACTCATCACAAGCCCATCAACTCCAGCAGTCTTTAGGGGAGCCAGTACGCGACTCATACAGGCATGGTAGAGGTTTGCAACAGCTCGATGTCTTGAGGCTTTATTTGCGATATGCTCAAGGCGGGTAGTAGGCAAATACGCTAGGAGAATGTGAGCGCGACAGGATGGCTTTTAGTCGGATTTCCTTTGGAATGTTACCGATTGTAAGGTAGACGGGATATGCAGTTTTGTTGCGGAACATGGTAACCTGGGTTTTGTCGCTCGATATGATGACAGGGATGATTGTGGCACCCGGACGTCGTCGATCGAGCACTTTCTTGAATTACAAAGTCAATAATGTAGGCCAAGCATCGAATTTATGATACCATGCTTACCTGTGTGTCCCACCACCACTGACCAGTGTGCACATCATGAAATAATTGTATCGTCTTATCCTCATCAGCGTAATGACGCTCCGGTTTGAATATGAGAAAATCGGCGAAGTCAGGGTCACTATATAAAGATCTGATGCATTCGACAATATCTCGGTAGAAAATGCCAAATGCTTCGCCAGCGACAATGATTTGTTCACGCTTGAACTTTGGTCGTCCAGGAAGGTCCTTGTTGATTATCTTATTAAGCTCTTTTGAATTCTTGAATGAAAGGTTGAGCCATTCACTGACCTACATATGGATATCAGAACAATCAAGGATGTAACCTTCACTGGCACCTACCCCATCAATTGCAAGAAGGTCAGTAAATGCCGTTGAACTAGGACTGCGTAACTTTGCCCACTTAGCAATGTCCCAGTCTATCTGGGAGGTGAAGGGAGCGTAAATATTGTTGGAGTTGCCAGCATCTATACCGTATGTGGTATTTGAATCATGAGCAGGCTGTCCAGTTATTGGTACACCTGCATGGGCATCTGGATAGGGCACAATAACAATATGATCTTGCTCCATGGTATGTTGCTCAATCTCCCGACGAGCTTCTCGGTTCTCCAAGGCTTCAGCACCTTCATTTTCCAGTATGTCATCGTCAGGTACCGGAGGTTCCGGTTCATCATTATTGTCCTGTGCAGGAGGTTCCCATTCATCATTGTAAAGGTCCTCTTCTTCGTCACCAGAATGGTCATCTGGCCATTCTAGATCAGCTTCCTCGTAAGTACCAAAAAAATCTCCCTCAAATAAGATTGGATGATCTTGTTCTTCCAAGGACCCTGGAGGCGGTGACAGGGAACGTGTGCCAGCTTGGAGTGTCAGATTCTTTGGACTCCCCAGGCCCTGGGAGTTAGAATTTGCACGAAAAGTAGCAAGGAAGGCTCTGCATGGCGTTTGTCTAGTCTTGGCTAGATGCTGACTATAACCTGTTGCAGAAAAGGATTCATGACATCCGGGGCAACTGACCATGCTGTATAATGCTATCACTGCGCTCTGCTGATAGATACTACTATAGTAGTACACCCTGTAAGCTTCCTTTTTCAGGCTCCGCTCTAGGTATCCATTAATATACATATATCACCTGTACATATCATCACCTAAGTTCCAAGATTCCCTTACTATAGGATGGCCAACTCACCTCCGTCTCCTGTTCAATCTTGCAGCCCTCATTTGCCTTTGTCACCTGTAGAAATGAGCAGTCCCACAATTCCATCTTCTCCCGACTCCTTGGGCCAGTCTGACACGACTCTTTGTAATTCAAGCCTACAATCTGGCCTCTCTCCAAACATGATGAATAGTTCTCTGCGCATTGAACGGGATGGAACATCCAAGCCTGCTGATGTAAAGGAGAGCCTATTCTCTAGGCATGGCAAAAGGTCACAGTCTCTATCTCCTCAACAGCACTTCGCATGCAAGAAACCATCAAGGACGTCTCTCCCATACCCCACCAACCCAGCTCCATTGGAACTTTGTTATGCAGCCCGGGTGATGAATCTCAAATTCCAATCCGAATTTCCATTGGAAGCAACTAAGAAGGTATATTGAATTGACTTCCCGATGTTAATAATCATGCTAATGTAGTCTTAAAGTTTGAAGAACAGTTAGAGAGTGGCCTCTCCCAAATGACAACTTCGACCTTGTACAAAGGATACAAGGCCAAGCTTGCAACGCACGAGGTTGTGCGCCAATGCATGTTGTTGACAACGTGGGAAATGAAAGAGGCTGAGCGTCACTCAATATTTCTTGATGGTATCCACACTGAAAACGAAGAACGATTCAAGTTGGCAGAGTGGGAATTGCAGTGCTTCAGGAAGATCTTTTCACAGCGTGGCCAGGCAGAACTGGGTGATGATAGGAATTATCTCCAAGCTGTCTACCAGGACGAATCCGAGGCCCTTCGTATCATCAGTACACAAACTGATCAGGTTGCAAAGCTCCTGAGTGTACGTGTCAGGAAGGCATTTTTGAAATCTCCCGAAGTATTCCCCATGTACCCCATCATATTCTCCTGCCTCAGCAATGAGGAACCTTCCGACTCATCTGATAAATCTTGCCATGTGGATGATTCGGACCTTGACTCCGAGGCTTCATGCGAAGGCTCTGAACAGTCGACTACCTGATAATTGCTCTTCCATCGGTACGTGAAATTCTCGTTTGAAGTATTACCACGCTGATCAACCATATAAAGCAGCGGTGAACTCAGATCGCATTTTCATCAATCCCCATTTGCCATCATCGTGACATCAATATGGAGGTGTCTATGGCGCGTCTGATAGTATTGCTTTAACCATATGTATTTTCTCTTCTGTGCAGTTATAATGTACTAGAGTTTTTTCATATTTATTTTCAAGTTGTTGTCACACTATTACGCTCATTGGAACTACACATTTGTCAAAGAATACAACATTTGATCGGCACATGGAAGTCAGTGCGCAGCATTATTAAGATTCTCGGTACTGAATAACCATATTTGTCGATGTTCAAACATCCCATATATGTACTGCTTCTCTTTGGCCACCTTACATGCAATGCTCATGGTCAATTATTCAACAGATTGAGTGAGTCAATTCAAATTTCACTTCCATTCCCATCATCTCTTGAGCCTCACCCCACTGATATTGACCTTATGTGTCACCATTATCATGGATTATTGCCGTTAGTATCAGATATGGCTAGCCCAATACCTTGGCTCTATTTAATTTTTCTTTTGTTCGCTATTACATATTATAATGAGGTTCTACATCATGTTTCTAGCGCGCGATGCAGGAAATCACTCAATTCCAGCCCCCGGATGCATGGTGTAAGTACCCTTTAACCAGTGGCCACTCCTTCCCCATCTCATTTCTCCTTACCTACTTGCTCTCAGCAAAGTATGCAGATGCCTGACCATAATCCGCGTTCAGGCATTTCTGGTGAACTTCAAGACATTACCAGCGAGTCATTCGAAAATGACTATGACAATCAATACGATGGATTCAGATTGGGAACAAGTTTGAACAGTATGTATTCATCCAATCTAAGAAGTAAAGTACGACGGTTTTCGGGAACTCTCGCGCGCTCACGTGGCTTTTGCTAAAGGCCACATGGGAGCGCTTAGCTCGCTTAAACCTGTTTTTGGAAATCTCGCGTGGAAATCTCGCGTGGCTTTCGAGCACCGACTCACTTGCCCATTAGAGCAGTGCACTACACAACACAAGTATTTTCCTTATTGTAATGTAATTGTTTATGTTACATGCATACAGTAAATAATAAAATTGAAAATGGAACAACATGATAATTTTGCAGACAGTGGGATAACAAATATATGTGGTGACAGGAAATCAATGACAAAGAGTTGTGAAAAAATAAATAAAAAGGAAACAGAGACTCAAAAATTGGAGAACAGGAGATGAGAGGACAGGAAATTGGGAATGGGAAACAGGGAGAATGGGAGAATGGGAGAACAGGAGATGAGAGGACAGGAAATTGGGAATGGGAAACAGGGAGAATGGGAGAATGGGAGAACAGGAGATGGCAGGATGGAAAAATGGGAAATGGGAAACAGGGAGAATGGGAGATGGGAGAACAGGAGATGGTGGGATAGAAAAATGGGAAACAGGGAGATGGGGAGGACAGGAGACTCAAACTGGAGAATGGGAGATGGGAGATGGGAGATGGGAGATGGGAGATGGGAGATGGGAGATGGGAGATGGGAGATGGGAGATGGGAGATGGGAGATGGGAGATGGGAGATGGGAGATGGGAGATGGGAGATGGGAGATGGGAGATGGGAGATGGGAGATGGGAGATGGGAGATGGGAGATGGGGAGGACAGACAGGAGACTCAAACTGGAGAATGGGAGATGGGAGAAGGGAGACGGGAGACGGGAGACGGGAGACGGGAGACGGGAGACGGGAGACGGGAGACGGGAGACGGGAGACGGGAGACGGGAGACGGGAGACGGGAGACGGGAGACGGGAGACGGGAGACGGGAGACGGGAGACGGGAGACGGGAGACGGGAGACGGGAGACGGGAGACGGGAGACGGGAGACGGGAGACGGGAGACGGGAGACGGGAGACGGGAGACGGGAGACGGGAGACGGGAGACGGGAGACGGGAGACGGGATTAGCATGGGTATACCCCATGGTAACACTTTTTCCAATCACATATATTACCATTTGAAGGCAAATGTACAACTTCAAAATTTTATACTTATCCATCACTCCTATGGTAATCAATTTGGGGATATATTCCCAGGGGTACAGGGGTCTTTAGATCCAAACCCCTACCCCTACCCTCAAGTTTCCCATACCCCTGCTGATCCCTAGATGGGAGGCAGGGAAAAATGGGAAAACAAATACATTCAATGATACTGTTACATATTTTGTATTTTTTACATTGGTCAAAATCCTGCTCAAAGAACATAGCACTGACTGATCTTATGTACTATTGTACTTTTGAGTTCTTTGAAAAGCTGCTCATAAATATATTTCAAAATCATTCAAAATGCACAATTTATTAGGATGCAGCCTGAGGCCAGGAAGCCAAAGGAGGGCGTAGCCCTCCTTGGCTTCCTGTGACGAAGGAACAACACTCATTTTCCTCCCCTGAAGGAGCGCGTAGCGCTCCTTCGATTTGTGCCGAAGGCACAACGGGCGTGAGCTCGTGTTATAGTAGTCGCAAGCTAATAGTGCATCAAGCAGATGATGAGGATCCACTTGAACGATTCCTCCGTATGACCGACCACCACCACATGATGAACACCAGTGATTTGCTATCTAACTCCCGAAAACCTTCCCCTGGGCCATCCAGCACTAATGATATGTCGACCAGTAGCACTGTCAACAGCATTCAGCCTCTCATTCCCTCCTCCGCACAGTTTGACACCTTCTACCCACTACCCTTTCCCCAGTCGTTTGTAGGATCATCCCAGCGTTCTGAGAGGCATCGGCATGCTCGGATCTCCTCCACCATGCTGTATTTCATACCCAGACCCAGAGCTGTTCCGCTGCCTGAGCCAACGATGGCTGCCCTTGGTCCTGTGCAACCTGCAGTCACTGTCCCCCATACTACACACACGGCCCATCTAGCCCCTGTGCCGCCACCTGAACCCATGGCCATGCAGCCAGCAATTATGCCGGTCATGCCGGTAGAACCTGTCACCTCACAGTCCACATCCAACACCGTTCCTGCTGCTATGCAGCCAGCCGGACCAGGCCCCATTATCCTTGATGTTACACCTCAAGTTAAGAAGCAGATTGTTGAACGCGCGAAGAGAAGAATTGTGAGGTTCATACTGACAGCAAATGCGATGGCCGGTACTGATGACATGGGTGCGGCACTTGTATCTGTTGCAATTTCGGAGGCAGCGTCTATCCCGGGTCTTAACGGTACATTTTGGCAGATAAATTGAGTTGAATACTAATCTATTTATTTAGCTACAATTAAAACAACGAGTAGCCAATGGCAGCAGATTATGGTGGCATGGAATAACATTTTTCGGAAGCTCCTGGCCATCGTTCGGAGTTGTCTTGCCCTGGGCTACAACCTTTACCCACCAGTCGGCTCTAATGTCGCGCCAGATCAATTCCAGGGTCGCGTGATAGCTGCATTGATCAACGATAGTGCCAACCCACTGGCCTTCATGCATAGGTTTACAGTCGACATAGTATGTTTAAATTTTGTTTCAAATAGACAGTGTTGATTGGTTGTTCTTTAGGATGGGAACATCGTTTTACTAGATGGCATCCTCGACAATCCCTTAATCTTTCACGTCACCGTTCACTCCATATGGTGCAGTGACCTCGGCATTTACGAATTTCTTGCCGCTATGACATCAGACCGACTCCAGCAAGTCAATTATGCTATCTCCGCTGTTGGTTCCATTGTGAAGATTGTGCTGCGGGAGCAGCTGCCTCATCCACCAGTCGTTATACCATTCACACAGCTTGAAGGGAAAGACACTTTCAACGACATCGTTCACTACATTGATGGTCTGGACGATGTCCAGAAACTCATATTCGATCATTCTAAGTCTCACATGCTCAATGTTGGAGACTCGCAGCTCCGATCAACTAATGTATTAGCTCGACTTGACATGATGATGACTGGGGTCATGGTGCTGTAGTAGATATCATGTAGCACACATACTCATAACTTGTACTTCGTTCAACATCTCTACAAATGCACAGTGTCTTCGCACATGAAAATTCATCCTTTTTCCTTGAGCTTACACTATACCTGTTATGATCACACCAAGTTCTAGAACAGGAGAGTCCAGTAAAGATGATATTCGAACACTAAGATATTGAAGGCAAAATTAAACTCCAGGCTCCTTTCCCAGCCCCCGATTCGAGTGTGAGGGGCGATATCTGAGGGCACCGTTTGATATGCTGTCGTCTATGTGAAGGAACAACTGCTGTCCTTCAATTTAGTCCTGCTGAGGAAAATTCATCTGAACTGCGATCTAACTCGGGCAGGCAGAGCATGTCACGATAGAAGAAAGGCAATCTCCCCTCACACTCAACTGTGCTGCTTTTTGTGAGCTGGGGATCATAGCAAATACGCTGAAGGTACAACAATTCAGATGGTGAGTCTGAACAATGTGTTGGGTCTTGCAGAACCTAGCTGCTATTCGACCCTAAAGGGTTTCTGGACCAGGCTCAAGGCTCAGAGTAGAGGAAATATCATGAAAACTTGCTCAGCACTCAGACTCATACTGGTAACTGGTGAAAAGATTGCTTGATTATGTAAGCTACAAAAGTGCCAACATAAGGTAAGGTAAAAACAGTCTCTACAAGCCCAGCCAGAAATGAATCCCTACAACGCACTGCATTCCATGCACAGTAACGCGATTCATGATCAAAGGACATCTATCGTGGCTATATCTGTGATATTCTCACATGTGTTTCCTCTGTTCATTAAGGGCTGTACCTGAAATTCACTAGAACCTGATGGTATGGAGCACGCAGTACATCAGAGAACCGATGAGTCCTTGATATCGTAGCCGTGAGAAGTATAGTGTGATACAATTCTGCGCTCGCTACATATCACCTTTTATACTGTGAGCAATTTTAGTTGTGGATATATATCCATGAATCCCCGCAAATGCAGCTTGCCATGAATGATCTATGACAATGCTGTGACTTTCCTCCTTCGTAGCCAGTGAGGAGTGGTACTGTACTCATTGTAATTGTTTTGTGCGTTCTCATTTTCCAACAATTATTTTTGCATTACAAAGGTATATAAGACCTTCTCATGGAAAGCGACGTTAACCTTGATAATCAAATCTCGATGACCATGGAAGTTTGCGACCACGTTGCAACATATCATCATCGCAGCCTAAGTTGTATTGTAGGGTAAAATGTGTCCCCCTTGTTGAGTATTCTCATATACCATTCTTTAGGTTGAAAAATATGATGCCATGAATGACTCTTTGATATAATCTGTTTGCACCAGTCAACTAGCTAGATACGTACATAGAACATAAATACTACTGATACGGTGTAGAATCATTGAGTCCTTGAGTAGGTGCCAGCCCCTTACTACAAAATGCCCGCCTCCTCCAACATCTTCCTTATAGGTGGAGTATCAGGCTTCAACTCGCCATTGAGAGGTGCTGCATATCTGCGCTTATTACGATTATTACAACAACAATAATGCACAGGCGGGTGTTAAGACATCCATTTTATGACAAAGTCCTGTGATTGGACAAGGGAGCTGATCAAAGGAAAAAATTGAGCGGAACATCAATATCAATAAAATGCAGCGTGATTGTGAGGCTGGAAAAACAATCATAAAAAAGACTGAAGACCCTAGGATGGTACCAAGTGAAGGGTGGATAACTCATGGTGCACTATTCCCACTGTCTGGGCAAAGAACAGAGTCTCTGGTGTCACTGGGCCTTCCGAGTCGTTGGTTGTGGCTGAGAGTGTGTCTGTAGCCGCAGAAGGTGGCAGGGACTCCATACCAAGTGTCCAGGTTGGCCCATAGAGCCCACGCATTACTACAGTCGCGTCATGGGCACTACTTGAGTCTGTTGGCGAGGATGTCTTGCGTTTAGATAAAGTCTTTCTAGAGATTTTGTGACATATGACTGGCACCAGCTTTTGACATGTGCGGATAGCAGATCGATAAACCAATTTCAAGCGAGAAGAAAGGGGTTCCATAGGGGGGCTGAAACCGATGCTGTAGCCAATCTGTTTGATGCCAAGGGGAAGTTTCTTGAGCGACGGATCAAGGTGAGGAGACCTAAGTGTAGGGGTGCTTGCAGAACACATCCTCTTGCGAAGCTTATTTTGGGCATGCAATTTGGTGGAAGGGACGGTGCTTGCGATAGATAGGGTGGACCGGGCACGATCTTGAAAGGTTACTGACCGACTTTTTCGCAGTGTGCCAAAGTTCTCTGGTGGTTCCTCATGACTGGTTGTGCTTGGGTTAGAGTAGTGTGAGGAAACGGAGTTGATCTCCAAATCAAGAGCATCCCACAATGATAATGGACCTGCTGGAGTGTGTCCTAGGTCCATGACTGCAGAGCGCTGCCTGAAACGTTGTACATAATCTTGCGCACTCGACTCCACTTGACCTACGTCCAGGGATTCCTCTTCGTCAGAAGCTTCAGGTACAAATTCTAGGCGAGTGCTTTGTCTTCAGAATGTCGTATGTTGATATTAGGATTCTCATCATCATATCCGAGGGGTGCTACAGTGAATGTCAGTTTAACAGGCAAGTACTCGCAAATTTGTATCCAAACCCTTGCCAACCCTCTTGGTCACGTTGTTCCAATGCCTACGTCAAGTTTCGACAATGCGGTAGCGCTCAGAGTTATAAAACTCACACAGTGCAGAAGTATGAATGCGCCCTAATCTGTTTGATGTCCAAGCGAAGGGCTGCATTGCGCTCCAAACACTAACACAAATACGTGCATCAGCCAGCGTGCGCGTTAACATATTCCAAAAACTCACTTTGACTGAAAGATGTTGCACTGCCCATGATACTGACACTGTCTGGGGAACCATCAGTGGGCAGCGAAGGACCTTGGTTTGCAGAATGGCGGCGTTGTCGGCAACGTATGGGTGCTAAAACGTGTAAATAAATGGAAAAATTGATGTGGTAAACTCACAGATCCGAAAAGCATCATGTATATCAGCAGGCCAAAGCTCCAACAGTCAACACTAAAATCATGCGCCCACCCTAGGATGAGTTCAGGAGCACAATACAAACCAGTATCAGGCAATGGGAAAGAGGCTGCTGAATCAGGTCTGCATGCTTGACCAAACCCCGTAACAACCACATGTCCCGATGTGTCGAACATGATATTACATGGTGCCAGATCACGATGAATTATGCCAGCAGTATGAAGTGTGTCCAGTGCCCCTACCTATTGCAGGTAAGCATATTTAATTGCGTCACTTGGCTTGGCTTACTACTTCGCAAGCTATGTGCAGGGCGTGGCTTTCGTTAAGGCTCGTGTTGCAGTCGAGCAAATCCTGGAGACTGCCATTAGGGTAAAACTCCTAGTTCAAACTGTTGGCACCTGGAGCACAAGAGTAAAAGTAAAGTATACCACAATGGAATGAATTTCAAGGCCATCCTCATGGATCCAGATGAATGGTGAGAGGAAAGAAGACCGCAGTTCGCAAATTTCCTCGCAAATTTTCATTTGAAGTTGGATGTGATCATGAGGACTACGAATTTGAAGGCGCTCCTTGTTCAAAATTTGTATAGCATAGAATTTGAGGTCGTCATGTTTTCGGCATAGATGTGTCGATGAGATGGAATCTTTGAACAGTGTGTAGAGTAGTCGGAACTGCATGGCTATGTCTGAGTGTGGACTTAAATCAATATTCACAAAACCCACATCACCGGCCTTCACACCTTGCCTGGAGGAATGTATGAGTCTTGGTTTCGGTGAAATGACCATCACCTCCTACAAAGATCATCAATCATCAGTACCTCGGACGCTCATCAGCATAAGAGATACTGCATCTCAATTTCTCCATCCCTAAAACGAGGAGCGAGATCAACAATATCCTTAAACTAGAGTTTAGGTGTCAGAGCGATTCTGATACCCAAAGCATACCTAAAGCTTGACTTACCAATAGCCCGCCATTGAAATAATAGCGAACCACGGATACTGGCAGCCCTCCATGGTTGATGTGCTTTTCTGCATAATTCAACTGCCTCATCCAATCTGCCAGCACGAACAAATGAATAGAGTGCTTGTGCTAGGCTTTTCTCAGATCCCTGCGAATGATTGCATGTTGGTCAGTGCTTCAACAAGTTATTATTTGGCTCATGGTGTCATCAGCTGCCAATGATCGGCCATCACCTCTGTTCATGGCATCAGGATCTAGCTCTTTTACCAGACCCTCTCTTATTCCTGAGCCTGTGCGTAAACCCTGCATGACATTATGTTTCGTAAATTTCCAGTATCCTGTGGTGGCTTCTGGATGTTGCGGTTGTGGGGCAGTTTCATGGAGCCATTCTCGTACTATGACGAGTTCTGTGAGGAGTACTGATGAATCCATGATTGCTTGTGCTAATGTTGACGTGGGTGTGTAGGGATTTGTGGCAAGTAATGTGCGGGGATGGACATGTGGTTCTGGTTCGGTTTTGCGGGCACTACAGTTGCCTTGAGTTAGGAACCAGTAGCAAGACACGTTCACTCACGGAATTATAGCCTGAAGAAGGCCCCATGTATTGGCCTCCATGCGTAAGATGTCGAGTTCCTCTTGAGAGACGTCAGAAGACGCGCTATTCTCCGCCTCTGTTATTCTGGTAGCGGGTGAGGTACGCTCTATAGACAAGGAATTTGATATGCACCAGTCGCGACACAATTGTCGTAGCCTAGGCGCAAACCCCATGTTGGGATCAAGGATAGCAGCAAGGTCATCTTTTGCAGCCTGGCACACAGAGAGTACATCCGCACAAGATGAGTATAAGGACTTGGACATCTCTCCAGATTTTGGAAATGAAAATGACTTTGAACTGGTTGAATGTTGATAATGACTTTGACTTATCTACTGCAACCAGGCAGCTACGCAGTTCACAGAAATAGTAGTTATTCTCCATGACCACCGTGACACCATGACTGATGTGACATGTCACACATGATATCAAGTGTGATCATCCGAATTGGGATGTCATCTTTGAACGCCAAGTGCACTCGCTGAGCTCGATATCCGACAAATCTTCTTACTTTAAGATCTACCAACATTCAGCATGCAGGATTACCTGAACACTCTCAGAGATGTAGTGAATAGAATTGGAAATGAAAGAGAAAGAGAAAATAATGGTGTCCAGGTCCGTCATCGATTGATCAGTTTGTTTCGCACTGACCTCAGACTGGTGCTATCACAGAATCAAAACAATCAGGTACGCACATTAACATCGTCATGGCGAGTGCATCAACAACCACACTGTCAGCATCTGAATCGCTTACCGAATGGTCGTAACATTTCGTTTACCATCCCAGATCAGCAAATGGTGAGTGAAGTGATGCATTCAAATAATAATTTACTGATTTTACAGGACATTCTTCATGCAACATCGGTGATCGCACGATCGCGCGTGCGCCAACAACTATATCATCCGGAGCAGCAATTCGGGCCGTGCCCACGGCCACCACTCTGGGACGAGGAAATGCGCACAATGATAACCTTGTGGATTGCCAGAGAACACCGATTGTTTGAGTGGGAAATGAGAGAGATGGAACACCTTTTGGGACTTAGAGGGCCACATTAGCATTTTGCGGTCTGGATGTGTACGAAATATGTACAAACTTACGACAGATGGCGTATCGCCTCGCAGACAACTTGTACAATAGACCGGTAGCCTCCATGATTTCGGCAAATATTTCAACTTGCGTATCCTAGCAGACGCGATCACCACCTGGTTAGTAACGAGGCTCAGCACCATGACCTCGAGATTCTCTTCTTGTGCAGCCATGACTTTGGGTATGGTGCTCATGCCGACTATGTGTGCACCTGCATTGCATAGGAAACGACCCTCAGCAGGGGTTTCATACACGAGACCTGCCACCCAGGCATACGTTCCTTCAGCCAGTGCAGAGGAGTCAAACTTAAGAGAGTGAGAGGCAAGGAAGGCAAGGTGTCGCAGACGAGGGGAGTATGCATCTCCCAGAGGGATGAATTGGGCATATTCTGGGGACATGAGAGGTCTGAACGTTGACTGCATCCGCCAATGCTCATCTCATCTCCGGGTCACGATCAGCTAGGTCATGAGCGATGGTGGACCAGACTTTGTCATGGCGTTTCTTGGCTTTGTCAAAGCAAAAACATGAACCGAGCACTCCCATGGCACTGCAATTGTGTGAGTGATGGCTGATTTGCCTGTGCCTGCAGGGCCGGATAGCCATAGCACACGTTAGCAGCATCTTCACCGCCATTGATCCAATCCGTGGTCTGAGAGAGAATCTCCGTGCGCGTCCCTGGTATGCACTGCATGGTATTCAGTCCTGCACCCTTTGCATAAGCGATATCCCCGAGATCCAGAGTATCACCTGAAACTGTATGAATGAATGTAAAGTCAGAAGCGTGTCAGAATCCTCACCCATACGTTGGACAAAGATGGCCATGTCCCGATCAACTTGGTCCCGAAATTGTTGCATAAGTCCATCAAAAGAGTCGCCATACTGTTTAACAATGACATCAGTTTCCAAGAGAATATTTTTCTATGATAATAGTATAAGACTAATGCACACAGCGCGATAGTTTGGGGACTCACAAAAGCTCTGTATCTCCGAGTAGCCCCTGATGAAACGGGCACACTCAAGAATCTGAACGATCTTTCCAACAATACCGCGCATCTTCAATTTTGCCAAGGCTGTCATCTTGAGTCAAGAAGCGGTAAACTTCAGCCATTTTCTTGATAAGACTCTTGATCGATTTGTCGCGCTGTGCTTGAGCGATTATAATCTATGACTTTTGAGTAGGAGATTAGACCTGGGAGAAACCGAGTGTACTTTGGTTGCAACAGACAGCACATCCAGCACCATCTTTGCGTATGAATGTACCTATACAACTTGATCAGTTCGCTTCCAATCAACAAGAATCAACCATACATCTGCGATCTTCTCAAGGATGACATCGATAACCTTTAGGGGTTGGAGATACGTTGTCTCAAAATCATCCTCAGCGGCGAGACCCACTGGAGTGTTGATGGCGGCAGATGCCATAGAAGTCGCATGTCTGCTGAGTAATCCCATGTTTTGCGTACCATCACGGGCACCCTGAAGTTCAGTGTCAACTAATTTGAGATCAGGAAGAGTGTGAACCTGTGGGACCACTGAAATTAGAGAATTAAAACAAAGTATTTGACAAAAATATCTGCGAAGCAGCCTCTCCAGGCAGCCCTTGGTTCACGGAGCCGCTGGGGATGTCAGATGTGGCGGGATGCTTCTTGTTGTTGGAAAGGTGGAGATCCTGCCAGTGGGCGCTGTAGAAACAACAATACAATGAGGAACAAAAGAAGCTCCTGACTGTATCTGTAAAAGTTGTAAGGTCGCGCGCTGCCTAGTCTGCGTTACTTGAGAAGCAAGTGCGTTCGACCCTATAGGGGAAGTGAGTGCAGCAAGGATCTAGGAGTGTGCGCTTAAGCGAAGCGCGAGAAAGCGCAGGAGCGCGCAAGGTACAAAGGCGCGGGAACGCGCGCGCGTATTAGCGCGAAGCGCGGGAAAGTGCGCGCGCGTATGCGGAAATGAGAAACTAAGCTTAAGTAGTGATATAAAGCAAGATGAGAGATATAAGAGTGCAAAATGTAAAGGAATAGCTTTCTACTATATTCTGCTAAGTAGTAAGTGGGTAGTAACTAGTAAGTGAAAAAAAGGAAAAGTAGGTCCCGTGTAGTATGTACTGCTGGCGCTTATATAGCGCGCCTAAGCGCGCTCATGCGGAGCCGAAGCGCTACCGAGTAGGTATGTAAAAATATATATGAGTGGGAAACTATGATAAAAATAAAGGTGGAACTATGCTAATAAAGGAAATGGAAATATACATACTAGGGAGCTTGGTGGACAGTGGATGGATGCATCTGGATGGCTGGCGCTATAGGGCGCGCAAGCGCGGGAACGCGCGCGCGCGTATACATCGTGAAGCGCGGGAATGGTGCGCGCATGGCGCGCGTTGCGTGGGAAAGCTGCGCCTCATATAGAGATAGCTGCGGGTAGCGCACAGAGTAATGCTATGAGTTCGTGCTGTATACTCCTTGGTGAAAACTACCATATCACGCCATGAGAGGCATGATTCTCTACAGCGCCTCTATAAGAAGCTGAAAGACTAGGATAACGAGTTCCAGTACTTACCTCAACTTTCTGGCTCAATGAAGCACCTTGAGGGTCAACATTCTCTGGGACCACAGGAACGCAGTCATGGGAAGACTTGAAGGGTTTCTGCACAAAGTCAGCCGTATTCAGAACCAGGACAACAGCAACCTACTTACCGAAATTTTCTTAGTGATGCCTTTCGTAAATTTCCGCATGGCTTGCCATTCGGAACTTGACTACAGGGGTGAGCAGTCAGCGATGGAGTTCATGAGCGCTCATCCACAGTGAGTGAGTCCATAGAATTACATACCAAGCTTTCACGGACAGTTGCTTCATCACTCAGCACGAGTGATCACTTACCGTGAGCGAGGTGGGGATGCAAGAAATAGATGGGAGAGGACTCGAGGACTGGTCGACCTCTCACGTCGACTTTGACTCTTTTGAAGCACTAATCATACCAAAGTGGTTCGATATAGCTTGTCCTGTTTTCTTCATCTCCGCCTACAAATTTTTTGGTCACCAAAGGTGTTTGTGATGAAAGAAAAATTGATATACCTTGAATGTGTTTGTGGCCAAAGGCACACACCCACCGCATCCAGCACCAATTTTTGTCTTCGCCTTGAGGTCTGCCATAGTTGTAATACCTGCTTTCACGGTTTTGCTGATTGCGCCATCCACTACACTGCCCACAGGTCGACCGCAGACATCGGATCCTTCCCGTCGCTAGGATCCCTGCAGAGAACAAGAAGGTCATTACACAGTATTCCGATGAGAGGCTGGGGGTTAAGCTCTGGCGCTAGGCAATCAACTTGAACAACAGAGGCGTCCCCCTGAGCATTGAACGTCTCAAATGAAATGACCGTCTTTCGCACCACCCTAGTGAGTAGTAGAGGTCCATCCATGATGAGCCGTCTGATCGAAGTGTTAAAAGATTGGAAGCTGGTGTTTGTGTTCACAACTCACCGATGTGGTTGTACCAGAGGGCTGGGGAATTTGCCTCATATTCTTGATTGCTATTGAACGAGTTTTCATCAAGATTCAGACCCTCGTTTGCCTTCGTTCATATTGTTTGCCAACGAAGATATTTCTGTCAGAGCTCGATCCAACGAGTCATCTAAAAAGGTATATGACGGTGGTGTGCTTCGCAAAAGCTCTTCCAACTGAACCGACGATTAGTTAATCGTGTCATATACATACCAGTGCGAACACTTACTAGTAGTCGGTACCGTGGTATTCGTTGAACTGGTAAAAGTAAATAGCCTTCCATGTTGAGTTGTGAATGGCGAGAATTCATGCGGCAACACTTCAAAAAGTGTTTTATTCGTTTCCGTTGTCCAGACGTTAAATGTGCTGTATGCACGGTTCAGACAACGTCATATACAACTGCCCAGAATTGTATGACGCCCACTTGGATCCTTTGACTGTCGACGCATAAACAAGATGTCGGTCAAGAAAGAGGTCACGCTTACCATTCGGGTATAACAATAGATGAAGACATGATGGCGGTTTGGAAAGAACTTGTGCACGTGGCCCAGATCCTGGACAGATCAGCGAGATCATGAATTGGTGTTGCAAGGCAGTGCTGAGTGAATGCGTGATCATCATTCGGCCATGCGAGAAAGAGAGATCAACAGAGGTGGTGGGTGTCCTCTATTCCCATGAAGGAGGTTGTGTGAATGCACTAGAAGGTAAGGAGGATAGGAACAAATTGCTCTCATGCAAATGTCTGTGAACTCACTGAAGGATAAAATCCTGTGAAACGACATAATATCATTTCGAGTAGGTGTGTAATTGCATATAGCAGTCTGTGCAAGTGTGAGGGCCTTGTTCCCAACACACTCATAAGGAGTCTATGATCAGGAGAAAAATTGTAGTGATGCTGCGCCAGGACTTGGTCAAAATTAATCTGGCGAGTAAACAAAAAAATAGTCATCGATGAGAGGGTACTTGGACTGGTGAATCTGCCACAGAATCCTGTGCAAACCACTGATACAAGTCGATTTCACGGTCTGTGGGGATGGGCTGCGGGATCAAACTCTGAGCAGAGAGGGCGATAAGGGAGTGGGAATCAGTGATACACAGATGTTGAACGTGCTTCGGAATCTGGATGTGACTAATCAGTGACTCGAGTACCTGATCATGACTCCAGAAATTTACAATAATGAATTGAAGTAGTACGGGTATTCAGAGCTGTAAGTTAGAAAGAGACTTCATCAAACTCGTCATCGGCATCCCTATCGCTCAACTCATTGCACTCTTCATCACTGTCTTCATCACTGTCCTCATCACTGTCCTCCTCCTCATCACATTCATCAAAACACTCGCTATCGCCAACCATCTCAAGGTCCTCATCCTCATTGTCATTGCTGTTTTCAATCTCCATGGTATTGTTCTGTACCACCAACTTGGTGCAGTCCTTTATGATTTTGCATAACGTTGCCGAATGTCCGACGCCAAAATGGGTATAACGCATGAACATATCCCTGTCGACGAATCTAGTGCAAATTTAAACATTGATTTACTATGAAAATGAATGTTTACACTCACATGTTGACATAGTGCTCTTCAAAGTCATCCAGCTCACCCCCAGGACGCGCTAGTGATTTCCCATACCGAAGTGAGCTCGTACCACGTCCCGTGAAAAAAGCAGGAATCAAATGAGCTCCCCAGATTACCTGTCTGGGATCAAGGAACCCAAACACGTCTGTGTCTGACTCTTCCACAAATGCGATCTTTGGGAGGCAAGCATGATTCATGCCAGATTTATAGTTCTGCACGACAGCTAACCACCTGACCCAGAGCACCTCAAGGTGCCGCTGTCATGCATGGTATGTGATTCATACCATGTCAGATATATATAGAGAGTGATAAGGAAGATATGAGAGACTGTCTAGCCCTTTGTCACTAAGTTACCTCTCTATTTTTCCTTTATTTCATTGTCTTGTATTTTATTTCTCACTTTACAGGCTTATTTTACCTTGTATTTGTATCAAGCATGTGACCTTCTGTTTATTTCTCATTGTTTATTTTTATTTGGCTTCTTTCAGCCACCAAGTTTTGTATCTCTATTTATTTCTGACTGTTTATTTGTATTTGGCTTCTTTCAGCCACCAGCTTTTATTTGTCATCACATCATGTGACTGGGAAATATTCTGGTTTGTAACATTATTTAAGCTGACTCAGCATGTTTAGTCATGATTGGCCATGCTTTGTAACAACATTTAACATGACTCAACATGTTTAGTCATGGTTTGTCATGGTTTCTAATTTCTTTGTAAGATTACACTGTATTTGTAATGTACTTAGTAATAAGCTGATTCATCACCTGGTTTGTAAGCCACATTCTTACCAATCCATCTGATTAATCATGCTTAGTAAGGGGGTTCCCAAAAGGTATAAAAGGACCCCATTTTCACCCATGAAATACAATCCTCCCACTTGACTCTTATCTCAAACCGTGTGAGACCACTAAGACTTAAAGTGCAGGCCAATATAAGTGCCTTGAGGTAATCTAAGATATCATTATCTATTCTAAAGTTATATACTACCTTACAGGGGTCGACTATATAACTTTCATTATCGTTATTCTACTCTAGGTTATATACTACCTTACAGGGGTTGACTATATAACCATTGAACAGCTCTCATTCTAAGCTTTACGTGTATTCATAAGACTCTCCCTTTCAACGGAAAGTGAGACACATCTAAGGACGACAAAGTTGAAACAGACTTTCATAGGTTGAAACACGACCTACTAGGCTGAAACAAACCTAATGAATTTATCCAGAACACAGAACATTCCACAACAACTTCGTATAAGACTACACAAGAAGAGGACAACAAACTAAATCCTCCCAAGAACTCACCACGTTACCTCCCACGAAGTAGAAAAGTCGGAGACCGTGGACTTAAGGACTGGCAAGAAGTCTTCACCGTGTATAATTGTGTTGTCATTATACACAACTTTCATATAAGACCCTTAAGTAACAAGACATCACTGGAGCCCACCGCGAGGGAGGCTTCTTCTTGTATCAAACATTGCAAAACAATCGTAAACAAAGCACACTTCATATAATTCATTCCACCCACACAACAAAATGTCAACAAACATATTTAAACACAACAAAGAAATCACAACAATCGTAAACAAAGCCATACTTTGTATAAATCACTCCACACACACATCACAACATCAACAATCGTATCAACGCAACACAAACAAAGGTCAAACATGACTACACGATCCGTATTAACATTGCCTAGCCCTGGAACTAAGGCAGCACCTGCCAAATTCAAGGGTGGATTTTCAGAAGTCAAGGACTTTATGAAAAACTGTGTGATTATCACAATGTAACCTCTGATGAGGAGAAATGTGAATCTATTACCCAGTACATGTCCCGTCATGTAACAGAATTTGTAGAGGGACTACTGAGCTTCAGATCTAATAACTGGGGCAAACTCAAGGCTGACATTCTGAAGTATTATGATGCAGACCTTGACACGAAGCGATATAGACGCAAAGATTTATTGTCCTACGTAAGGACAACACGAGGAAAGAAAATCCCTACACTCACAGCTTGGAAGAAGTATGTGAGAGGGTTTATTCGTATTGCAGGATGGCTTGAACAAGCCAAGAAATTAACAAGTGAAGAATATGCAAGTTACTTCTGGGAGGGGATTTATAAGAAACTCCGTATCAAAATTGAAACACGCCTCATGGCCAAGGATCCAGACAGAGATCTATCTGAAGCCTTCCCAGTAGACCGAGTTGTCGCAATAGCAGAGAAATTGTTACACCGTGACCGGTTTGATGCAGACCTATTAGTTTCTGAAGTAGAGACTGAGTCTGAAACTGACTCCTCTACTGAAGAAAACTCTGATGCCAATACCGACTCAGAGTCTAGTGAGTCTGAGACCGAGTTTTTTCGTAAGAAGAAGAAGGCCCCAGAGCCAAAAGATAAGAAAGAAGTAAAGAAAGCTCAAAAGAAAGTGAAAGGACATGTCAAGGAAGCCAAAACTAAGACTTCCTCAAAAGATACTAAGAGTCCTAGTATCACTTCACCAGAACCTATGGATGAAATGGAGGGACTCATCAAGAGACTCAATGCAATCTCACTCGATGATCCAGACTATGCTTTGTACTACTACAGGGCAACACAAATTGATCCTTCTGTCAAAGAAATGATAGCAGCCCCTATTTTGAAAAGAGGTAATGCTACCCAAGGAGAATATAAGCCTTACAACAATCAGAATGGACAAAATAATGCAAGGCAAAACAGTAACACCAATCAGACATTCAGAGGACCACAACCAGGTACTAGGTTCTATCACCCACCGAACACCCCTTTCAATGAACGAACATGCTTTGGTTGTGGTGAAAAGGGACATGGTATTCCAATGTGTCCACAGATCAATAAGCTAATCGCTGACGGTAAGCTACAGCGTACACACCGTGGACAAATAGGAAAACCAGATGGAAGAGCTGTAAGACGGCTACCTGAAGAAACGATTATCGAAGCACTAAAGCGAGAGGACAGTGTGCCAGTAGCTCACTTTATCAAAGTGAATAGCGGAGACACACAAACCTATAGTGCAAATAAGCAAAATAAAATTCAAGAGACTAGGACTGCATACATCGAAGAGTATGTGAGTTCTGATAGCAAAGATAGTGACACGGATGATTCAATCAACCAGTATGAAGAAACTGAAGAAGAAGAAAGTGATTCAGATGAAGAAACATATGCATTCCTGGTTGAAAGAGTCACACGAAACTCCACACAAGGAAGACACGAAAGGTTTCAGGAGGTATTCCCTCCAGGTCAAAGCAAAACCCTAAGGAAACCAAGCGAGAAAGATAAAGGGAAAGATAAAGTTCCCACTACTCAAGCCAAGAAGGCTGATA